GGTCAGCAAAAATGCACGGAAGCTCTTGGGGGTAGGTCGGGCGCGTCCCCCCACAGGCAGAGTCTTGACGAAAAACGAACAATAGTCAAAGCGTGTTCAGAGATATGCAAACATAGCCGGAAAAAAAGTCCCCCGACTATTTTTCTACTATTTTCGAATTGTCATTCTGTAGGGAGACAGGCCCGACTCAACTTTGGGGGGGGGGGCCCTGGGAGGGGGCTCCAGGGGGCTTCCATGGACTCGGTCTGCCGAGGCCGCGGGGGAAGCAGACGCGCAGACCGCTGCGCACCCAGATGTGCCCCAGGCAACAGCGGCACACGCTCCAGCTCTGGAGCGGCCTCGCCTCTCGCGCCGTCGCGTAAGACCTAGCGGCAAGGGGGCCGCGCTGTGCCTCCAAGTCCACTGACGGGTCCCTGACGCAGACGTTCGAGTGCGCGGTAGTGGGGGGGGGGCGGCGGGCGACGAGACGACGGGAGCCCAGGGCACCGAAGAAGCTGAACACATGGAGCCCCCCCCCAGGAGGGGTGTCAAGAATATGGGAGCACGAGCACGAGCACGCCCGCATATGGGCACCGTCTAAGGTGCTGCGGGTGCGGCGCCGGAGCGCCAAAGTGTCGGAAGATTAGGCCCGATCAGAAGTCCGAGAATTTGGCAAGGGCAAGAGATATTGGAAGTTGCCACAAAGGAATTTTTGGAACAAGGTCAAGAATATGGGAGGGCTCGCCAATTGTGGGGTGTTTGCCATGTTCAGAACGTCTCGCGTGCATCCTCCGGCTTGCTCGAATGGATGCCAACCTCGAGGGTCCTTGGCAGACGAACGGAAGATGCCGAAACTGGGCCGTGGAACCGCGAGCCTGCAACAATACACGGCCTGCATCTGAACGCATCATGGCCGAACTCCAGAAGGGGGGGGGATCTGAGGCGAGATTCTCGGCCCCAGGATCTGCCACAGGTTCGGGGGGGGGGGCTGGACCGAGTCAGAATCGGGCTCAAGAACTCGCCTGGAGGCCTCACAGGCCAGCCGCCGAGTACGAAAGCGCGACAAAGTGGCCTCTGACTCTTGGAACCGCTGGTTGCACATGGCCTTTGCACAGGTGGGGGCTTGCAATGTCGAGTGTCTTCCCCAGTGAGGAAGCTCGTCAGCGTAACGGCCCAATGGATCCTGCGAGGAGCGAAACGGGCCATGAGGCGGGGTAGTCGGCATCCAGGGCAGCCTAAACCTTCGCCTTCAGCATTCGTTGTGCTGTCCACGGCGGAATCTTGCGTGGGCGAAAACTCCCCATCAAACTGCATCGTGGCCCGTCCTGCTCTTGAGACGTCAGGGGTGCTGGACAGGAAGCAGCTGCCGTCCAGAAGCGACTCGGCACCCCAGCCCCCGAGGGAGTCACCAACCTCAAACACCTCGGGGCAATCCTTGAGGACCTCGGGGGGGACCGCGGAAACGGGCGGGATCGCACACGCACCCGAAGTGGAATTGACCGGGGCCTTCCCGTGGCCACGACGTGCGCCGCGTCAGGCTCCTTGCCGAGCGGTGAGGCTGTCTGGAGGCGACGCTTGCGCACGCAAGCCACGCTCAGGATTCTTCTCGTCGCTTCCTCAAGCGGGCAGTCCGGTTCAACAAGGCTTGAGGTGTGCACGTCAGGCTGCCGCGCCCAAGCCGACAGTTCACGCTGACTGCCCAGCCCTCTACCCGTCGGCTGGCAGAAGCCGGTAGAAACAGGAAGTGGGAAAGCGTTGGAAGTGGATTGGACTTCCGCCCGCCCCGTGAAGAGGAGGGACGAGGGAAAAACGCCCGACTCTTGAAGTACGAAGGCGCCTCAAAGAGATTGAGGCTAGACTTATGTCGGGCGTGTCCTCTTTCAGGTGGGTGTTGGATGAAAACTTAAACAGCTTCGAAACTACTCAGAAATGCACCAAAATACGTAGATAATCGTCCTCGGGCTACTTTTAATGTTTTGGAACATGCCTCCTGTAGAGGGACATGCCCGACTGAAGGCTCGACTGCCGCGGGTCAGCGACACCCACCTGGCCCGCAAGGACCTCACAAAACGTAAGCCGGAAGACGGTTACTGGAAGAGGGAGGGGGGGACGGGGGAAGGGCGACGGGGTGAGCGGGAGGCGGGGCGGCGGGAGGAGCAGGAGGCGGGCGGAAGAGGAGGTGGACGAGAACAGGGAGGCGAGGCGAGGCGAGGCGACTCCCAATTCGCCGTGAGGGCGGCCGCGCGCGGGGCTGGGAGTGGGCGCGGGGGCGCCGCTCGTTCAGTCGAGGGTAGACCTGTTTCTGTTTGTAGGGTGCACATAACCATCCCCCAATTGTGACCACTAGTCGCTGTGCGAGGACAGGGAGGAAGAGTGGAAGGAGAGGGAGAAGACGAGGGACGCGAGGATCAGGAGGAGGCGAAGGAATGAAAGCAGGAGGTGAACGGGAAGGAGGAGGAGGAGGAGGAGGAGGAGGAGGAGGAGGAACACGACGACCTTCTCAGGCGGCCATCCCGTCCGCAAGGATGCGGGCGACGGCATGGGCGAGATGGACGCGGCTGGGGGGTCTGCCCCCGATGGGCGCCAGCGAAACCAGTCGGGCGGGGCAAGGGGGCAGAAATCGGCAATCAATGCACATCTGGAGAAGGTGGCCCAGGAGGGACACATAACGAAATCTGAATACGTTTGCGCCTCCCCACCTCCTTCGAGGCTGGAACCAATGCTGCCCCACCTCGGCCCCCAGCCGGCTCCAAGGGGCGCTGTGGCCGCCGCGGCCACTGGCGCTGGTGCTCGCAATGGACATGCTATTTTGCCAGGACAACGGAATAGATCACACCACATGCCCTTCCCTAGTAGACCAACGGCACACTGGTCCAATCACGCCTCCACGGAGCGACCCGCTCGTGGTCGATGGCCAACCCCCGTCGGCCTTGCTCTGGTGCGCTGCGCGGCCTTGCGGAACCTCCTCTGCCACACTCTGTGGGTCTGGGGCTTCGTCGGGTGAATCCGGGAACGTGGTGAACCAGAGCTCACGTCTGGTCCTCGGGCATGCCGAACAGCTTGAGGGCGTTGGGATCGCTGTGAAGAGCGTCCAACCTCGCAACCTCGTCGCCTGTGAGCTCGAACCCGTAAACGCCGAGGTTTTCCCGCATGTGGCGTGGGTTGCTCGTGCCCGGAATCACGCTCACGTTCTTCTGCAGCGCCCACCGCAGGAGCACCAAGGAAATTGTCTTCCCCTTGGCATCTGCAATGCCCTTCAGAGTCACTACTGTCTCTGGCCGTGCTTTCTCCAAAAACCCCCCCAAAGAGCTATAAGCCGTCACCGCGATACCATGCTTGTGACAATATTGGACGGCATCTCGCTGCCATTGATCAGCCCACGGGTGGAACATGATCTGATTCGCGGCTATGGGGGCCGAGTTTAACAAGCGGATCTCGTCCATCTGCCTCACGTTGAAGTTGCTGACGCCGATGTCACGAATCTTCCCACTGTCCCGCAGCGCGGAGAGCGCCTGCCACGTCTCCTGGCGGCAAACCTTCCATGACTTGCCCTTGCACTCCCCGAAGCGACCCAGCGGGTGCGATGGAGCGTGCATCAGCACCAAGTCGATGTAGTCTGCGCCCAGCTCTGCCAAGAAGCGGTGCACTGTGGCGTTGACCGACTCCGATCCGAAGAAGCTTGGGAGCAGCTTCGTGGTCAAGAAGACCTCGCTGCGCGGTACGCCAAGCGCCTCCGCCTCCCGCATCGCGCCCCCCACCGCCTAGTGATTCCAGAAGGCGTGGTGAAGCTTCGGGTTGCGCACAGACTGCGCTGGCATCAACAGGCCCCCGGAATAGTCCAGGGCTGTCTCAACGCCCCAGGGGAGCCGCTTGAGACGGCGCCGAGGTGTTGATGAAGGGGCCCTGGGACACTCAAATAAATAGACACAGATAACAAGGTTCGCCATGTTTGCCTAAGTTTCTGGGTTTTTGTCTTCCTCCTAGTTCCATAACTTCCCATACTGTCTGGGAAATCGACGATTCATTGTGTCTGTGTGTCTTTATTTCCCTCCCGTGTGGAGACCGCCCTGAACACTGCTCGGGGAGCCCGTCGAGGTCAGCTTTTGCAAAAGCCGGGTGACCTGTTTTGAGGCCAGCTGGGACAAACTGAGGAGGGGGGGCTGTCTGTGCGCGATCCGAAGCTTGACCGAGAGAGGAGCAGGAGGAGGAGGAGGAGGAGGAGGAGGAGGAGGAGGAGGAGAAGGAGGCCGCAGCCATTTTGGCTCAAGCCTCACGGAGCTAACCTCCCGTGGGTCCCGACTCCAGAGGCTCGAGGCCGAGGTGGAAGGGCAGTCCCGTCCAGAGGCCCGGCTGCCTCAGCCAAGCGCCTGGTGAGCTCCTGGCGGAGCACAGCTTCTCGCCCCTCGGCGCCCCGAGGGAAGCTTCAGTCAGTCCGCGGGACTGCAGATGAAACAGAATGGGGGAGTGGAAGCCGCAGTCTTGCCAGGGCCGAAGGAGCCCATGTGGAGCTGCGCATGAGGGAGGAGCAGCAACTGGGCGAGCAGGATCCGTTGTGCGTGCGGGGCGAGTGCGCCACGCACCAGTATCGATCGTGCCCGTCAGAATGCAAAGAGGTGTCAGAACGAACGAGGGCCCAAGCCTGGACCACACCCCCAGCCTGGAGGGGGTCTGGGCTAAGCAGCTCGAGAGCACGAACCAGTCGATTGCGAAGCTTACCAATTCCGTCCAACTCTTGCTCAAGGCCCAACCAAGTGCGGGAGGGCCGCCAGCGATGGGGGCCGCGGGCGGAGTGGCCAGCCAGGATGGGGGAGGGTCCAGCCAGGGCCAGGCAGACAAGTTACGCGAGAGGGTCGCGATGCTCGGCAGGATGGCGAAAGAGATGGACCCTGACGCGGACAAGGATGAGATTGAGCGCCTGCGGCAGAAGCAAGCGGCAGCGCACGAGGAGCTCCAGGGCTCCAAACCGGCACTCACCCAGCACACCATCGCAGGTCACAAGTTGACAGAGATTGAGGCCAAGCAGGGGGCGCTGGAGCAAAAGTTGGAAGCACATCGCAAAGCCATTGAAGAGGCTAAGGAAGTGGAGAAGACCATGCAAGCCCAGGTGGACGAGCTCAAGGCAAAAGTCGAAGAGGCCCACAAAGAGTTGGTGAAGACGATGCCAGTCGGGACGTCTACCTGGAATGTTGAGAAGCTGGACAAGTCTGAACTTGAGAAGCAGCCCGAGGTCAAGGCCATGCTCGAGTCAGAAACGTAGAATAAGTTCTTGGAGCTGCTCAAAGCCAGCGGTGTACCCCCGCATGGCCCTGGAGCTGAGCATACTCCTGTGGCTTCAAATGATGGGGAGAGCGCTGGGAGAGATGTACCCGTGCCAGACCTCCACGAAGACATGGACTTGGAGGAGATCGGTAAGCTCTGGGAAGCTTCGACAGGAGAAAAGCGAACCTTCATGAACAGCCTGGCAGGCCTCAAGCTCAAGCGCCAGAAGCGAGGGTAGCAGGGCACAGGTCATGCTGGACCTGATCGAGGTGCTGGAGGCGCGGGAGGCGCTGGGCGGCGGCTGTCATCCCCTTGCGGCCCCTTTGGTCCCGCCCAGCCCTTCGAGATGCGTTGAAACGGGTGAGGTGTGGCCGCCATGGGGGCATGGAGGCGCGCGAGGCGATCGGCGTCTGCTGGCTTCCCCAGGCGGCCCCTCTGGTCCCACCCAGCCCTTCGGGAGGCGCTGAAACGGGTGAGGTGTGGCCACCAGGGGACATGGAGGCGTGCGACGCGTTGGGAGGCTGCTGGCTTCCCCAGGCGGCCCCTGTGGCCCCAACCAGCCTTTTCGGGGTGCGCCGAAACGGGTGAGGCGAGGCCGCCAGGGGACATGGAGCGGGTCATCTCCCCTGCGGGGCCCCCTCTGTACTCACCCTCCTCCTGCTCCCAATCGCACGAGCAGCCATGGGCCACCCGGGCGAGAGCAAGAAGCGTAGGGCAGGGAGAGGGGTGGCTCCAGCGGGGCAAGGCGAAGTCGGGTCAGTTCGAATTCTACGTCGCCAACATCACCAGCCTAGGTCTGAAAGGATGGGATTGCATCACAGAGGTTGAGGAGGACAGCGTCGACAGCAAGAGGGACCTCAGCATCTTTGGTTTCGTGAAGCACCATCTGTCTGGGGGGCGTTTGACCCAGGCCGCGAAGAAGCTCACGAAATATGGCTGGGGCGGGACCTCCGTACCAGCAACACCGACGATCAATGGCGGCAAGCAGGGACACGGTGGAATCGTGCTGCAAGCGCGTGTTGGATTGCAGAGTTGGCCGATCGCGGACAGCCACAGAAGACTCCACCAGCGCGCTGAACATGTTGGGGAAACGACACGGTGGGCAGGGCAGGCTGTGCGCTTCGAGGGGGGCATAGAGATCCTGTTCGTGGCAGCGTACTTCGCCGTGGACGTGGGCCTCGCCGAATGCAACCTGGCGATGATGGGTGAGATAGCTGGCCTGGTCACCGCGATGGACGGACCATTCGTTCTCATGGGAGATTGGAACATGACGCTGGATGAGATTGGCCCCTCAGGCTGGGACACATACCTGCGAGGGAAGTGGGCCACCCCGGGTGATCACCCTACAGGTGGGCGACTCATTGGCTACATGCTGATCTCTGACGACCTGCAGGGGGCACCCAAGCTGGAATGGGACTTGGAAGGGCCCTGGGCAGCCCCACACTTCGGCATGATTGCGAAGCTTGACAAGCATGCGTTCAAGTACCAATACAGGATCCCGCTCTCGCCCGTCAACAGCACGGTGGGCGTGCAGGGCCCCGACAGGCCATGGGATGCGCACGTAGAGGCGGTCCAGCAGAGGAAGCGTGAGGCCCTGGAGGATGACAGGTACCCGCACCTGCCCAGGGACAGGCGTGAGGTCTCGGCGGGGCACATGGAATTCGCGCTGGCGGCTGAACATTTGCTGGCTCAGAGGGATACCACGATAGATTACCAGAAGGCAGCCACCCGTCGTGGGCTTCTCACCGAGACGAAGATAGTGAACGTTGTTGAGCCAAAGCCGCCAGGGTGAGAGAAGGGCTCCGAGGGCCTCGCGAGGTGGGTAGCTCTAGAGGCTCGTTTCAAAGAAGTGCAGGGAGTCCTGGGCAAGAAGAATGAGGCGTTCCTGGTTGACCGAGCCTGGGAGAGCATGGTCAAGCAAGCTCGACGATGCCAGGACGTAGAGAGCACCCTGCAGGATGAGCGCAGTCAGGCTGTGCTCAAACAGATGTCCGCCCTTGCCTCGCCGCCTGCTGTCACCGCTGCCGCTCTTGAGGGCATTGGGGTGGAGCTGGGAAGGGTGATGGGGGGGATTGAACGAAAGCAAAGCCGAGGCCATTCCCAAGGTTTTAAGGAATGGGTCATCTCGAGTTTGCGAGTCGGGGCTGGGGCCCTGCATAGATGGACCAAATCTTGGGGCAAAGAGGACCCCAGGCTGGCCCACGAGTATGACAGTTGCCATCGGATTATCAGAGAACCGCTTAAGATTGTTGAGGCGAAAACTGAGTAATGGACTAGGTGCTGGTGCCCGAAGGACCCCGAGGGACGCCCTAGAGGGAGACCTCAAGAGGAGCCCTGGTGGCCTGGGTTCAGGCAGCTTGCGCAAACAGAGTTTGCAGAGGCCGCTCCTCTCACCAGTAAAAAGCTCGGGGAGGGGCTCAAAGCCTTCAGACACACGGTAGGCATGGGCCCTGATTGTCAGAACCCCAGGTGGTGGTCCCAGGTCCCAGAAGAAAGCCTGCAGCAGCTGTTGCGGGCCTTGCAGGGAGTAGAGCAATGTATAGAATGGCCTGTGCAAATAGAAGACAACGTAGCCCAGCTAAACTAGAAGTCGGACACAGCTGACCGCCCGAACACGCTGACCCAGGCTCTCTATAGGACCTGGTCGGTTTTGCGCAGAGGAGAAGTCGCCAAGTGGGCCGAGGAGGGGGTCGAGTTCTGGGATCGAGCGGTGCGAGGGAGTTCCCCACTCAGGGCGGCCCTGTTGCGCCAACTCCGTTTAGAAGTGGCCAGCGTCCAGGGTTTTTCTTGGCTGGAGATCCTCTGGGATCTGGAACAGTTGTACGACCACCTGCAGTGTGGTGAAATCTTCAGGCTTGCCAAAATCGCGGCCCTCTCTTTTTGGCCATGCAGATTCACTTCAGTCCACGGCGGCTGCGAGCCGAAAAGGACCTGGGTGAAATCATCGTTCCCTTTAACGGGCTGCTAGCAGGCTGCAACCAATCGGTTGATATTGCTCGCGTTTCCCTGTGGGAAATCCTACACGATATGCACTCTAAGTTTAAGCCGCTGCTGCTGGACACCTGGGTGGATGATCTGTCCCAACGTGTGTTCGGGCACAGCCGTCTTGTCCAGGAGCGATATGTGCGGGTGGCCTCTGCACTCGTCGCGAAATGCACCGCCAGTGGCCTAGTTGTTTCAGGGACCAGCACCATCCTAGCGAATCCGTCAGAGCTCGGGGAGAAAGTTGCAGAGGCCCTCAAGGCCAAAGGAATTAGGCTCCAGACCTGGCAGCGAGTCAAACATCTGGGTGTTGATGGTTCGTCGTATTGTCGTTCGGTCGGTACTATGGAGAAGAGACCCTCGGCTGCTAGAGGTAGGAGTAGCATGGTTGCACAAGTTGCGAAAGCTAACCGGCAGGCCGCAACGTTAGGCAAACCATGTGTTTTCCCGCAGGCCACGTGGGGTGTTGAAGGGATGGGCCTGGCACCAACAACCCTCCTCAAGCTCCGTTCCCAATAGTCTTGTCTCACGGGGATACGACGTGAGGGGGGCTGTGCTACGGTTGCCATCCGTTTTGCTCTGTCGTCCAAGCAGGGCCCGCTTGGTTTTGGCAGAATGCAGGTATTTCACACGTGGGTGGACATGCTACCTGCGATCGTTGCTGGCGCCCGTGCTCCGCTAAGCCTCGCCTGGAAACGGTTGTGGCGTGATCGGAGTCAGGCTAAGTCCAGATGGGGAAGAATCAATGGCCCAATGGGGGCCGCTGTCGCCAACGTGCTGGACCTCGGCTGGGAAGCCGCTGAACCTTGGCTCTGGATTGACCCCGTGGACAGAGGAGGCCTTCGATATGTTTGAAGGGGATACCGGCCGTCTCTTAGAGCGGATGTGCTGTTGAAGCCAGGCCTTGGCATATGAACAGCCAGCACTACCATGGGGGGGGGGAATTGCAGGAGGATCTGACTGTTGCGCTCCAGCACCTCAGTGAGCTCAAGAGCCGCCAGGAGTATGATGAAGTGACTGTGCTCCAGATGGTTTTCACGCGGGCTTTGTGGCCCAACTCCAGGAGGCTTGGGCAGGAAAGCAGGAGGGGACGTGTGGAGGCCGCAAGGCAGGGATATCCAGGGGCCCTGGACCAACTCGGCCTCCCTCCTCCAGGCTGCGGGCGAGGCCATCATGGCAGTGGCCGACCCTCCTCCCCCTGGGGCTGCTGCGGCTGCGGCTGGGAGTCCCCCCCCATGCGGATGAGTTTGATCACATGTGTGACCTCGCCGCCGAAGAGGACGAGCTGTTTTTTCCCAACCCTCCTTGGTTGGGTATTCGTTTTGAATAGAGCAGTGTGGTCGCGTCCCTTCTCCCGCCTCCCACCTCCCGCCTCCCTCCTGCCTCCTGCCTCTTCCTGTCTTGCCTGCGGGGGGCTGCGATCTGTGAAACTGTCGCCACTTTCGAGGCCTGCTGGGGGGTCCTGCATAGAGGGTAACCGCGGCAGATTCAAATTAGACCTCGCCATCCCTGGGTGGCTGCGATCTGTGAAACTATCGCCACTTTCGAGGCCTGCTGGGGGGTCCTGCATAGAGGGTAACCGCGGCAGATTCAAATTAGACCTCGCCATCCCTGGGGGGCTGCGATCTGCGAAACTGTCGTCATTTTCGAGGCCTGCTGGGGGGTCCTGCATAAGGGTAACGCGGCAGATTCAAATTAGACCTCGCCATCCCTGGGGGGCTGCGATCTGTGAAACTGTCGCCACTTTCGAGGCCTGCTGGGGGGTCCTGCATAGAGGGTAACCGCGGCAGATTCAAATTAGACCTCGCCATCCCTGGGGGGCTGCGATCTGCGAAACTGTCGCCATTTTCGAGGCCTGCTGGGGGGCCCAGCACAGTGAGGGCCACGGCAGATTCAAATTAGACCTCGCCATCCCTGGGGGGCTGCGATCTGCGAAACTGTCGCCATTTTCGAGGCCTGCTGGGGGGCCCAGCACAGTGAGGTCCACGGGCAGATTCAAATTAGACCTCGCCGTCCCTGGGGGGCTGCGATCTGCGAAACTGTCGCCATTTTCGAGGCCTGCTGGGGGCCCCAGCACAGTGAGGGCCACGCGCTGATTCAAACTAGACCTCGCCATCCCTGGGGGGCTGCGATCTGTGAACCTGTCGCCACTTTCGAGGCCTGCTGGGGGGCCCAACACAGTGAGGGCCACGCGCGGATTCAAATTAGACATCGCCATCCCTGGGAGGCTGCGATCTGCGAAACTGTCGCCATTTTCGAGGCCTGCTGGGGGGCCCAGCACAGTGAGGGTAACCGCGGCATATTCAAATTAGACCTCGCCATCCCTGGGGGGCTGCGATCTGCGAAACTGTCGCCATTTTCGAGGCCTGCTGGGGGGCCCAGCGCAGTGAGGGCCACGGGCAAATTCAAATTAGACCTCGCCATCCCTGGGGGGCTGCGATCTGCGAAACTGTCGCCATTTTCGATGCCTGCTGGGGGGCCCAGCACAGTGAGGGCCACGGGCAGATTCAAATGAGACCTCGCCATCCCTGCGGGGCTGCGATCTGTGAACCTGTCGCCACTTTCGAGGCCTGCTGTGATCCCCGTTTTCGAAGTGGCTAGGGGTGCTCAGGATTTGTAAAATCATCAGTTTTATCAAGCCCTTTTCCTGTAGCCAGTGTCCTGCGAGTCTCCCGAATTCCGTCTGCAGACATATGTAACCCTCGCTCCGTCATCGCCCCCTTATAAAGTATCCTAAACAATTTGCGCCCCGCTTTTGCGCAGGGGTTGGGTACGTCGCCAGGGTATTTGTTTCCCAACCCTCCTGCGTTGGGTTCTCGTTTTGAATAGAGCACTGCTCGCGCGTCTCCTTCCCACGCGCGTCTCCTTCCCACCCCCTCCCGTCCCTCCTTTCCCCCCTGCCGTTGACCTCGCCATCCCTGGGGGGCTGCGCTCTGTGGAACTGTCGCCACTTTCGAGGGTTGCTGGGGGGCCCAACACAGTGGGTACCCACCGCAGGCTCAAATTAGACCTCGCCATCCCTGGGGGGCTGCGGTCTGTGAAACTGTCGCCACGTTCGAAAGCTGCGGAGGGGCACAGTTGGTACCCACCGCAGACTCAAATTAGACCTCGCCATCCATGGGGGGCTGCGATCTGCGAAACTGTCGCCACTTGCGAGGGCTGCTGAGGGGCACAGCATAGTGGGTACCCACCGCAGACTCAAATTAGACTTCGCCATACCTGGGGGGGGGGGGGGCTGCGATCTGTTAAACTGTCGCCACTTGCGAGGGCTGCTGATGGGGCACTGCACAGTGGGTACCCACCGCAGACTCAAATTAGACGCCGCTTTCGTCCTTGTTCTCCTCCTGCAATCACCTTCCTTCTGCTGCTGCCGTGCTGATGGTCCGGCGTCCCGCACGTTTGTCTCCTGCTCTGCGTTCCCGACTCCCCATGTCCTCTTCGAGCCATGCCATAGGCGCGTGTCCCAAGTAGCTTACACATCAAGTTGATTGTCCATGCAAGTTTCGGCCAACTCCTCGTTTCAATTGATACAAGTGGGTTGGGAACGTCACAGGGTCATTTGCCAGCCGTGTGGAGAGCCTGAGGACTGGGGACTTGGGCACCCTGGCCCGCCCATTGTTGGCCCCGCCCTCAGGCCCCCTGCCTGCCCTCGCTGTGGCGCCCTGGAGGAAACGTTGTTTCACCAAATGTGGGAATGCCCTAAGAATGCTGACACCCCCTGGGAGGCTGCTCGTGAGGGGGCGGTGATGGCCCCGATTTTCTGGCTTAGAGGTCTTCCCCCGACTCCCTGGACCCAGGAGATTGCTGATGCAGTGACCGTGGCCGAACCAGTCTTCTCGGCGTCCCTGCAGAGAGGCCCCTTTAAGCTTGAGGCGGGGGATGTGGTGGGGTCGGACGGGTCGGGAGGTTCCTACTACGCTGAGCCTCGCCTGCGCCGCTGTGCCTGGGGTTTCAGCGTGATCAAAGATTTTAGACTTGTTGCGTGGGGAAGGGGACCCCTCCAAGGCTTCAAGCAGACTGTCCCTTGTGCCGAGTTGAGAGGGGCCCTCGAGGTGCTTCAGAATACCGAGGGCGATGCTGACCTGGCCGTAGACAGTGCACGTGTGGTCAACGCCTTTTGGAAGGGCCCAGGACATAGACACACTGTGAACCGCTTGGCTTGGAGAGGGTTCTGGCGTGCAGCTGCAGGTAGGAATGTCAGGATGACCAAGGTCAAGTCACACTCCATGTCCGAGGATGTAGGCGAACCCCTCTGGCTTGTCAACGGAGCGGCGGACGCAGCAGCATAAGAGAGCGCCCGTCAGTGTCAGGTTCCCTCCGAGGCAGTCGCCTCCTCGAGGCCGACCGCCTCACCTTTCAGGTTCGGCAGCACTTGATGGCGGTGGCCCTGTCCATCGCCGTGCAGGCGCGCGGGCTCTACGGTCCTTCGTCTCGTGCCTCTAGGGTAGCACAGCAGAAGGAGAGGAGGAGGGAGGCGTCGGCGGCGGAGGGGGAGGCTCGCCGCAGGACCGCCCACACCCTCCTCCAGGACCGTCAGGGCTGGCGCTGCATGGAGTGCGGGACGAGGGCCGAGCGGGGGCGGGAGTTGGGGTGGCTGGGGGGGGGGTGTTCGGGCAGGCCCGAGTCCCTGGCCCTGCACCCGTCTCACCGACTTCATGTAACGAGGGGTGTGTTTTGGTGTGAATTGTGGGAATTGCGGGGACCGTTCTCGAGGGGGAGCGGGCTCCGTCAAAGTCCAAAAGCTGGCCAAGGCCTGCGAGCCCATGACTCGGGGTGAGTGGGGGGCTCGCGTAATCAGGTCCTTGGCCGCGGGCCGCTTGCCTCCAGACTAGAGAGCCTGGCCCGACGAGTCGGGGTGACTCGTCTGATTCGTTTGAATCCAATTGTTTCGTTTCGGTTTCGTTCGCCGTGCCTGATTCGAGGAGCTCCTGGTGGATTCCCGAAGAAGAAGAGGAAGAAGAGGAAGAAGAGGAAGAGGAGGAGGAGGAGGAGGAGGACCTCTCGCGGGGTGCGTTCTGACAAGAATTCCGAGGGGAATCCAACAGCGGTGACGACGACTCTCCGGGACGAGCGGCGCTCTCGGCACGTCTTCCTCGTCCGAGCCTGGTGATTCCAGTAGGCGTCGGCGTCGTCGATGTGGCGCCCGCCCTGGAGCAAGAACCACAGCACCGTCCGGCGCACGCTCTCCTGGAGAAACCGAAAGGTACGCACATTCCAAGTCCCTTATGAATCGTCCCCCGGGTCTGGTTTTTTGAGGCACCTTTTTGTAACTGGGGGGTCCGTTTTGTCAGGGCAGGGTCATTGAGGCTCCCCGTCGAAGAGGGGGGTCCGGAATATTCGGTCGCATTTGGAAGGGGGTCCGGTTTTATAGGGGGGGTCGATTATTAAATGATTTGGAGTACCGCTACTACTTGGTCCTCTCCGGGGGCGCATTCTGACAAGGACTGCGAAGCGAATCCAGCAGCAGCGACGAAGGCCCCCCGGGAAGCCCGACAAGGCGAACACGCGGGACGAGTAGCGGTACCTTTTCCGCCTCCGAGCTCCGGATTGTAGGCCAGAGGCCTGCAGCACATGCCGATGCCGTTGGCGGGCATCCGGGCGCCGCTGGGCATCTGCAGGAACAGCTCCCCCGCCGGCCGCGCCTCCGGGACCGCGCCCGCGGCCATGTCGTCGATGCCAGGATCCGAGTAACTGCCGAAGATCGTAGCAGGAAGGTGCCCGCCCATCACCGCGAACAGGGTGGCAAAGAAGACGCCCTCTGGGGCATGCTGCTCCCATCGTACTTACGGACCACATCCCAGAAGTACTTTCGAGCACCCGGAAAAATGTCGACAGAGTGTCGAAAGAGTGTCGGAACAGTGTCGGACGAGTGTCTCCCAGGGCCCGACACGTGCAAACCCTGATGTTTCGGTACTTCTGTGGTGCTCGAAAATATGTTTGGTGATCAAAGCTCAAGTAGGTTGGAACATCATAACCTCCGGGACGGTCTGCGTACACAGCCAACCGACGGCGCACGCGAGGGGAACGACGAGGACGGGCAGCACGCAGAAGACGCACGCGCTGCACAAGGTACCGCACACTCCCCTCCTCCCCATCGCGGTGATGGCTGGGGCGGGGGGCGCTTCCGACGGTTGCGGGTCCCTGTTGCGGCCTTGAGCCGAAGGCTACGGACATGGGTGCGAACACACATGCTGACCGCACCTCCAAAGATAGCAGAGGCCTGCCGCGACGTTTTCCCAGTGGCTCTCCGACCACAGGGCGGCTCCGCCGCCCTGACTGACTGACTGACTGCAGGAGCGGCTTTGGAGACGGGGGGAACGCAGGGGCAGAAGGGGACCCAGCGGACCCCTGACTGGCACACAACGCCCTCGGACTGAGCGGGCCCTGGACACTTAGCACGCTTGGAATCGAGATTTCTGAAAAAAAAACGGCTGGTGTTCAGAATTGGAATGGAAGGATGTCTGCAACCACATGGGGCCTAGCGAAGGTTTCCGGGATTGGACCAGTCCGCAAGTGGTCGCAGAGGACGGTTAATGATTGGGAAGATGTCGGACGGCAAATGTTGTCCCAAACCATCAAGTGCAACTGTTGTCCGTGGTTTTGATACCGAATCGACGTCGTCTGGGGGGATTCCGACGACGAGACCTTCTGAAAATTGGCAGGAGCTGCTGTAAGTGTTCGACTTCATCATGTCCGTCCCCGAGTCGGACGAAAAGGGGGCGTGACTGCATCCAAATCCTGGGACCCCAGCGGGCGGTAGATATGGATATGTGTTTGCTCCAAGGCCCCCGAATATACACATCCACAGCCTGCCGAAGTTCCCGAAGGTTGATCCTCCAGGCGGTGCTTATGGACAGATCCCCGCCTCGGAGGTTAGCGAATTTGCTCACGCAGCTGGCTTTCGCGGTGCCTCCCTGCGCCGAAGGCGACAGAGGTGTCGAACGACCCTTCCCCCGGCGGCGAGACTGGACCCAACTGCGTGCAGTAGCTGTGGCACCCGACGTCCCCGTCGCCGTCGCCGTCGCCGTCGCTGGGGGGCGCGCAAACATGGATTAGCGATCCATGTATTCGGCGCGCGGTCGCCAAACACATGGATCGCGGGAGGTGCCCTCCCCCAAGGCGCGGCCGGTGCCGCCTCGCTCGGCGGCGGAAATCCGCGATTCCCCATGGAAACGGGACCCCTCGCTAATCCCCGCCCCCGCGATCTATGCTTGCGTTCGCCTGAACGGAGGCAGCAAGAGTTAGGTCGGGCCTGTCTAGCTACAGGGGGACTTTGGCCGGAAAATCACAACATACCCAACAAAGATTCAAACATAACCAAAAAATGGCCCGCGAATCGACCCCAGACTATTTTTTTCCTATTTGGGAATATTCTCCCTTGATCCATGTTTGCGATCGCCTGAAATGGGTCCTGGACCCCGGGGCCCCAGTCGGGGATCTTCTGACCGGGTCAATCCAGACCCGGGTCAATCAAGCCTGCAAAATCCTGCAAGATCCTGCACCCAAACCTGGGCCAATGCGAAGGACCCTGCAGGACCCTGCAGGATCCTGCACCCAAACCCGGGTCAATGCGACCCTGGCGCTGCAGGATCCTGCAAGATCTGGGGCTCTGGCTGACCCCCGTCTGCACTGACCCCCGTCTCAAGGCTCCCGACCCGGGCCCCAGGGCCTTCCCCCGGGAACCGGCTCTCTCCGTCCCCAGCAGCTTCCGGACGCTGCCGCGGCCCGCGGAGGGCCCCGGGAGGCCAGAGACAACAGGAGAGCCCGCTCGCGACCACAGTCAGGGGGGGAAGCTTCCTATTGCAGGGGCTCAAAGCTTGGCATTGCTTGGCATTGCTTGGCGTTGCTTCACATTGCTTGGGGAACCCGAGGGCACCGAAGAACCTGAGGAACCCGAGTAACCCGAGGAACCTGGAAAGCCCGAGAAACCCGAGGAACTCGAGAAACCCAGGGAACGTGGCATGGAAGAAAGCGCGGCATTGACAGTGCAGCTCCGCACACGTGACAAAGGTTAACGAGCAGGACTCCCCACCGACTCACCACACGGTGTGGTAACCACCCCGATTGGGGGCCCAGAAAATAAAGGGGGGCCCAGGACACACAACCCCATCTTTTCCTATATGTTCTGGGTTTTTGTCTTCCCCTCCCGCTTCCCATATTTCCCTTTATTTTCCTTGGAATCGACGATTAATTGTGCCTGTGCGCTTCTTTCCCTCCTGAAAGCAATGCCTTGCCGCCGGAGCGGCGACGGGCCCCCCCCCTGGAGGGCGAGGAGCCGCGGGCGTTCTTCACAGGGGCCGGGCGGGGTGCGCAGGGCACGTTCTCCGGGAAAGGGAGCACAAGAACACGGGCACAAGTCGTCGTCGACGTCCAAGAAAGAATGGGAAACGATGGGGGCCTGGGGGACCCAAGACGGCCCGGGAGGCCCCCAAGACAGCCCAAGCGGGCCCCAGGACGAGCCCAAGAAGCGCCCAAGAGGGCTCCAGGACGACCCCAGAAGCCCAGGAGTCCCCAAGAAACCCCGAGAGGCTCCAAGTGGCCCTCAAGAGGCCCCCAAAAGGCGCCCAAAAGCGCTTCCGAAGGCTTCAAACTTACCTCCTACACACTCCCAGGAGGCCTCCAGGATGCCTCCTGCATGCCCCCCAAGAAGCCCAAATGGCCCCCAAGCGGCTCAACAATCCCCTCCAAGACGCCCCCCCAGGAGGCCTCGAAGATGCGTCGTAGAGGCGCCTCGAGAGGGAGAACGGAGACACGGTCCACGTCGGGTTCGCGCCCGACCACCGACTCCCGGGTACTCCAGATTTCGTAATAAAAAGGAGGGGGTCTCAACCCTCCCAGACGAGAAGTTTTAGACGCCCCCCGTGGGAGAACCCTCCAAAACATCGTCCCCAGACCTCCCCAGGCCCTCCAAGATAGCCTGGAAGAGACCCCCCCGAAATGAGACTCCCCTCCCTTTATTACGAAATCTGGGGTGGCCTGTCCAGGACGGGCCGGCCTCATGTGCCCGAGCAAGTTGCCCCGCTCGCGCGCCGATGCTGCGCCGAGCGGCCGCCGACCTGAGCTGGACCTCCGTCGGACTGGAATCGAGCTCAAGCCGAACTAGGAGTTGCACCAGACCCGATCTAGAGTCGAACAGATTCGTCAGGTGGGCCCAGGGCATGCGCCACGACTAGGCATCTTGAGAGGAAGCCAACTCAGCATCAACGATGACCACACGGATTCTGGGATCGGCGCCGGACACCCCCTTCCCGTTGCGCAGAGCGCGCCGGGGGCGGCACAAGTGGCGCTTCAAGGGGAGCCCAACACGGAGCCAAGAGAACCGCGCGGAGAGCTCCCAAAGAGATGTTCCTTGTGGCGCCTCTCCTGCTTCGAATCTCCAGAGGGGAATGGGGGGGGCCCAGGGGGGGTCCCATGGGGTGGTCCCGGGTCAGCATACCAACCCTCCCGGGGCCCATGGCCCGCCCTCTCCCTCCCATTTCCGCCGAGGGCAAAAGCCTCCAGGGTCGGCGGCATCGGCCGTAAGGCCTTAGTAATCTCCAAAAGGGAGGAAGAGGAAGAGGAGGAGGTGGAGGAGGAAAAGGAAGAAGAGGAGGAAGCGGAAGAGGAGAAGGAGAAGGAGAAGGAGGAGGAGGCGGAGAAGGAGGAGTCGGAGTCGGAGGAGAAAGAGGATGATCAGGCGGAGGAGGAGGAGGAGGACGAAGAGGAGGAGGAGGAGGAGGAGGAGGAGGGAGAAGGAGGAGGGGCAGCGGCGGCCCCGCCTGGGAGCCCGCGGACGGCACGATGGAGAACACCGCCTCTGAGTCTCGTTTCACCGATCCCCATCCCCAGCGGCGTGGCCTGGGCCCCACTGGCCGAGGTGCCCCCCTGGATTAGGGAGCCCACAAAGGACGTACGCGCCTAGCTGTGTACATGAACACGGTCCCTTGAAACGCGAGACCGGCCGCGTGATACGAACATTCGCGCAATGCGAACTCTCGAAACCAACGTGGATTCATGTACGTGTACGTCCTTTTTCGCTCCTGATAGATGGGGGCTACATCTCGGCCGCCCCCTCCGGGCTTCGAGGGGCATCTCCCCCACCTGGGGTGGGTGGTGATCTCGTGGGGCCCTCGAGAAAGGGATAGGGACAGGGGATGCGGACCGGTGAAACAATACCGAGACGGAAAGCACCGCCTCCTCGCCGTGCCTCTGCAGGTTCTCGAAGAGCGTCGGGGAGACCTGGCGGCCGGCGCGTGCCGTCTCGCGTGCCCCCCCCCCTGGTCCTCCTGCCGTCCCCCGACATCGCCCCACGTCCCCGTCTCCCTCGCCCTCCCCTCCTCCTTACCTGCCCAGTTTGTATGTGTGTTGCCCTTACTTGTGTCATCTCTCTTGCGGTCTCGTTCCTCATTTCTCTCTCTCTCTCTCTCCCTATATGCTTCTCCCCCTCTCACTCATGAATTGTCTGGTTGCTGCTTTTGTTATGCAATTGTCGATGTGTGCATACATAGAGATCCCCTAGTGCAAAATCAAAATGCATGGATGTATGTGTAAGTCTATATATAGAAAGAGAGAGAGAGAGAGAGAGAGAGAGAAACAAAAACAAAAAAGTAATAAAAACAACGAAAATGAAAAACATAGCCAGCGTGACCCCAGAACGGATGCTTTTAACAGCACTCAGTGAGCAATGTATGGTGTGCGATCTATGTGGCGCACCACGTGCGTACAACATATGTTGTGTAGTCTATGCGGTGCGATTTATGTGGTACTACCTCCGTTGCGCAAGCTATGTTTCACGATCTGCGTTGTGCAATCTGCGCGGTGCAACGCACGTGGTGCGATGTACCTGAGAGATAACCATCGTATGTGGAACATTCTACGTGGTGCAATATACATGGCGCAACTTATGCAATGCAGTTCATTTGTTGTAAACTACGTGGTGCAATTGGTGTTGTGCAATCTACGTTTTGCAATCTGCGTGGTGCAACCCACGTGGTGCAAGCCGGGTGGTGCAACATCTGTTGTGCAGTCTACGTGGCGCGATCAAAGTCGTGACATATATGTTGTGCAACTAATTTCTGTTCGCAATGTGTTGTCCACTCCACTGCTCGCGCAAACATCCCACCCACCCACCCGCAACTTGGTTCGCAAAATATCTTAAGACTGTGACGGTGGGTACCACATGGCACTTGGCAACAACAGCGGCGCCGACGACGACAGCGACAACGACGATGACGACGCCGCCGACAACGACTACGACGACACCGACGACGTCTCCAACGACTTCGACGACGCCGACAACGACGACGACGACGACGACACGGCCGACGACGACGACGACGCAGACGCCGACGACGACGACGATGACAACGACGACGACGATGACGACGCCGACGACGAGGATAAACGACGACACCGACGACGACGACGTCAACGACGCCGACGACGACGACGAGAACGACGCTGGCGTCGACGACGACTAAGACGACAAAGACGCCGACGCCGACGCCGACGACCAAGACGACGACGACGTCGCCAACGAAGACCACGAGGAAGGAGGGAGGACGACGACGGCGACAACGACGACAACGACGACAACGACGAGGGAGGAGGGAGGACGGCGACGACGCGAACGACGAAGAAGGAGGAAGGACGGCGACGCCGACGACGGCAACGACGAGGGAGGAGGGAAGACGAAGACGACAACGACGACGACGACGACGGCGACGAAATAGGAGGGACCACGACGAGACGCCGACGACGGACGACGACGACGACGACGAGGGAGAAGGAGGAGGAAGGACGACCACGGCGACAACGACGACGGAAACGACCACGACGCCAAAGAGGACGACGACGACGAACACGAGGAAAGACAGAGGACGACGAAGGGGACGACGACGACGACAACGACGCGGGAGGAGGAAGACGACGACGATGACGACGACGCAAGAGCGCGCGCGCACGCGTTTGTTGAAAACCCGTGTTGCGAAACCATGTGTTTTCGTAGGTTGTTGGTCACACGATTTTGAAATCCTTGGGTTTTGAAGGTTTTCGGCATAAGCGCGCGACGACGCGCGCGTCTGCACTTCGTCCCATTTGTTGCAGGGGGTTCTCGCGACGGCACACGCGCAAGGGCGTGTGACAGATTTTGACATGAGCGCGCGCGAAACCCGTTTGGTAGCATGTTGTAAAAATCTTGAATCACCTATGGTTTTCTCAAGGTTTCGCAAGAGTGTTCGCGGAAGCTGTTTTAAACAATTCTGTGCTGCAGAACCCTGTGTGTTTGTATGTTTTTTTGGAAACTCGATTGCGACATCCTTCCCGTACCGAAAGTTTTTGAAGGATTTCGGCATGCGCGCGCGACGACGCGCGCGTGTGCACTTCGTCTCATTCTGCGCAAGGGATTCGTGAAAAAAAAGTGAAATGCTAGAACAAAAAATGTCATCGCACAACGTTTCTTACAAGGGAACCTCAGGGGGGAAACCGACTTGGCTGGGATGGTATGCTTTCATATTTAGGATGGGCGAGTGTGCAGAATATATATATATATATATATATATATATATGAAATCGTGCTATCCCCAGGGGAACCGATAAGCCCGGGGGGGGTCGAGTCTATCCTCTTTTTAGAAAGGAAAATCGAGGTGAGCAGTCTCGGTGGTGCAATTAAGGTGAATCACATCGGGGTTGCCCCTTACACTACTCGCGCAATCAGCCCGCCCACCCACTTGCAATTTGGCTGGCGCAGCCCATGCGGCAACGATTGCGACGCATGCTTGGCGCTGGCTGGCGCATCGCTGCGGCCGCGACGACGCGCGCAAGCTCGCGCGCAGAGGTCCAGCTAGCCTGGCGCGGCCGACGCGGCCGCGGTAGCGCTGACCGCTGGCGGCCTCCCAGCGCGTCTCGGAGGCCACGCTGGCGCGCGGGCACTTCGGTGCGAGTTGGTGGCTCGGGCGGGCGCTGTGTCATGGTGACGTCGACGGAGGCGGACACGATGATGATAGTAGCGGCGACGGTGAGGACGATGACGATGGCGACGGCAAGGCCAATGACGGCGCCGATGCTGGCCACGCTGACGGCGATGATGGTGCCCACGTGTCAATGGTGGAGGTCCTGGAAGAATTTCGGCATGAGCGCGCGGCCGACGCGCGCGGCCGACACGCGCCAGTGGCCCGCATGGAACTATTCGAAAGGGAACGCCCTCCCCCAGCACGCAAGGGAGTTCGAACGATTTCGGCATGCGCGCCGAGGGGCCGCATGGTCTGATTTTGGCGAGGAGATTGAACAACCGACGGTTGTCAACATAATTCGCAAGGAAGTCCGCAACTTTTTTACAACGCATTCTGCCAACAACAACATTGTTGTGTTAGAAGTGTTGTCGGGAAGCTCGGTCTTGACACTCGTGCGAAACATACGATTTCTTTATGATTTCGGCATGCGCGCACGACGCCGCGCGCGTGTGGACTTTGTCACTTATGAAACAAGAGATCGTTGAAAATGACTGGTTTGTGATGAACGGGTGCGCGCGCAATGTATTATTTGCCAAGGATGAGACGGGGGTCAATGAGAGGTCCCCCTGGGATGGTGTGAATTCAGGTTTACGTCGAATGAACGATGAAACATAATCATAATTGACATGCTCTGTCCAAAAGGGGAGCAGATGATTCCGGAGGGGGGGTAGGGTCCATATAGCTTCTAGGAAGGAGAACCCATGCGGCGCAGACTGTATGACGCAATGTATTACCAAGCAGCGCACCGCAATGCGATTGCAACGCGGTGCGGTTCCAATGCGATGAAATGCAAAGCAATCAATTCAACGCGATGCGAAGCGATATAAGGCAATGCAAAAACATGACAAGCACAGCGTAGCAGTGCAAAACAATGCAACGCAACTCAAAGCAATGCAATAGAAGTGCATAGCAAGGTTATGCAAGACCATGTAAGCAATGCAAAACGATGCAAACCAATGCAAATCAGCGGCACGACATACCAATGCAAAGCAATGCAACGCGACGCTAAGCAAAGCAAAGCAAAGCATAGCAATGCAAACCAATGCGAAATAATGCGGGCCCAAGACGACGGGGCGGCGACGGGGTGGGGACGGGGCGACGACGGCGACAATATAGCCGCCAGACCGACCCGCAGGCCCAGACGGCGGGCAACGACGAGGCGGTGACGGGGCGTCGATGGCGACAAGATGGCCGCAAGATCGGCCCGCAGGCCCAGACGACAGGCGGCGACGAGGCGGCGACGGGGCGGCGACGACGACAACAGATCCACCAAACCGACCCGCCAGCCCAGTTCCATTAGGCACAAACAAAGAGCCCTAAGTGCAACCGTCTGTCTTTCTCTTTCTCTCTCTGTCTCTCTGTCTCTGTTGCTCCATCTGGCTCTTCCTCTTTCTCTCTCTTCCCCTCTCTCTCTCTCTTTTTCCTCTCTCTCTACATATAGATTCGAACCGCGCGCGCGCTTCGCACCCGCTTCGGTTCTGGCGCGGACTTGCCGACCGCAAACGCGAGCCCGGACAGAAGAGGAGCACGCGGATCAGCTGGAGCATCACACTTCTCAGCTGCAGGAGTCTCCGGGCGTTCCCCCCCCCCCCCCCCTCCGCCTCCACCTCCTCCTCCCCCTCCTCCTCCTCCTCCTCCTCCTCCTCCTCCTCCTCCTCCCCCTCCTCCTCCTCCTCCCCCTCCTCCAAGTGACCCTGCTTCTGCCCCCGCTTGCCTACTAATCCTCCCTCTTCATCGGCCTTCTACTCGTCCCCTCTGCTCTTCATTCCCATGTTCCGATAGTCCCCCTTCCCCTCATCCTCTTCACCCTCCTTCTGCTTCTCGGTCCTCCTCTCCCTCTGTTCAACTCCCCCGTCCCCCGTCTTCTCAGTCAACGTCCTCCTCTCAGTCAACGTTCTCCTCATCCTCCTCTTAGTCAACGTCCTCCTCTCAGTCAACGTCCTCCTCTCAGTCAACTTCCCCCCTCCTCTCAGTCAGCGTTCTCCTCATCCTCAACCTCTACATCCGCCTCATCCTTCTCATGCCGTGTCTTGGGGGGGGGGGGGTGTGTGACACAATGTATATCTATATATATATATAGAGATATAAGAAAAACGCACACACGCACACACACATATATATAATACACATGTATGCCGCTAAACGTATGTATGTATGCATGCATGCATGCATGCGTGTGTGCATGTATGTCTGTCTGTCTGTCTGTCTGTCTGTCTGTCTGTCTGTATGTATGTGTATGTATGTATGTATGTATGTGTATGTATGTATGTATGTATGTATGTATGTATGTATGTATGTATGTATGTATATTTGTGTGTGTATGTGTGTCTGTGTGTCTGTGTGTATGTGTGTATGTGTATATGTATGTATGCATGCATGCATGCATTTATGTATGTATGTATGTGTGTATACCCCCTCCCCGCCCACTCTCCCTCAGGCCCTGCCTGTCCCCGAGCCCCGCCCCCCCCCTACAAACACAAAGGTCGCACCAACTTTGTACCGATGACGCCGGCTTGCGATTGGAGGGCGGAAGCTACCCCGAGCATTACAAAATTCCAAAACTCCGACGTCGTGTTCGTTCAATTTCCTCTGCGAGGTAGAACCCTGGAGATCTGAACCCATTCACTCGGGCCAGAATCTCATCCTGGGTAGTTCATTGACGTTACCGTGGCCGGGTGAAGGGCCCTAGAGGCCGAACGTGGCCCGTGGCCCAACTCAGTCCGTCTACTTGTTTCCTTCCTATCGTTTCGCTGTATGGCCCGGGGAGCCAGAGACAGCCTGATCTGGCAGCTGGTCTGGCGGTCGTCCCGCCCGAGACTTTCTCACGCGAGACGACGTATCGACCTTACGCGGCGGCTTACGCAGGCCACCAGCGCGGCACGCTTCATTGGAGACGAGGGCGCTTACGCGCGACCTTACGCGGGCAGCTTACGCGCCAATGTCGGCGCAAACGACCCCTTTTTTGCATCGCTCACATGGCCATGCTCTCACCCCTGTCTCACGGCCACGACCCCTAGTAAAAGTTTCACGACCGTGCACGTGGCCGTGCTTTCACCGCTGTCACACGGCCACGATCCTTCATTGAAGAATGCGCTACAGTGCACATGGCTGAGCCCTCACTCCTGTCACATGGCCACGATCCCTTGGCAAAAATCAACTACTATGCACGTGGCCGTGCACTCACCCCTATCACACAGCCACGGCCACAATCCCTTGTTGAACAAAGCGCGGTGCATAGTGCTGTGCTCTGGCCCCTGTCACAACCAGGACTCCCTAGAAAGGGAAAACTTAAAAAGAAAGGTTGTCCCGTTGTCCCTCGCCAACCTCCGAATAACTCCTCGATCCACCCCCTCGCCTTTGCCGTGATTATGATGCTCGGATGGTCATCAATGACGAGAGGAAAAGCGGGGGACCGCATCTCCAGTGCAGAGTCGACCGAGGGGGGCCGAAAGAGCAGAGAGGACGCACCGAAGCACACCAGAGAGGCTAACGAAACGCTCGCGGCGACCCTGAATCTGAGGTGGCAGCATCATCCGGATGCTTATCCCCGAGACTTGATCGACGAGATTGGCGAGTAAGGAAGTTGACGGGCGAATGACTGTACAGTCGGATTTGATTGGAGAGGACACGCCGAGGGGCACACTGCCATAGGAATGTAGGAGGCATGGGTCGCGAGACACAGGACACAAGGGTACCCTTGACTTGGCAGGGTCGACATACTAATCAGGGCAGTCTGTACGAAACAACTAGTTTTCGCCCCCGGGGACGCCTGTCCCATGGCGGCTGGAAGCTTTACACTCCTGAGGTGGCCCGTCAGGGTAAGCTTTCCAGCCGCTTTTGGGCAAGTTTCCCCAGTGACGACACAGTGTGTTTTATACTGTTCTTCGCCCGCTGAGGAAGAGATGAGGGAGGAATGGATAGACGCTGGAGAGAGGGAGGGGGGGGATGGGAGGAGCCAGAGGAGAGCGATGGGTATAGACCCAGATCTCAGACGCGGCGATTTCGTTCACAACTGGGGCCGCCCGCGTCTCTTAAAGGCGCGGGACTTCCATCTACAAGCAAGGCCCGCGCCTTCTATGAAGCGACCTCCTTCTAAGAGGCCTTCCCCCCTTCCCCTGCCCCCCTCTGCGCGTGGCCGGCATCCCTGGCACCGGCTCCTCATCTCGAAGCGATCTTGCACAATCCCGAAAGGCCGGCGAGGGCCCTGAGACCAGCAGTGCCAAAAAACCTCCAGTCGAGAGAGGTTCGCATCGAGGAGAGGAGCCGGAGGAGGGGAGGAGAGGAGCTGGAGGAGGTCGAGGAGGAGGAGGAATACGAAGACGAGGAGGAGCCAGAGGAGGAGGAGGAGGAGGAGGAGGAGGAGGAGGAGGAGAGGAGGAGGAGGAGGAGGTGGGGGAGGAGAGGAGCTGGACGAGGGCGACGGGGCGGAGGGTGCAGACGCAAGTCCGACCCGCCGGGGGGGATTGAGGGCCTGGGCAAGCCCCTGCCACCCGAGCCCGCAGATGCCGTCCCACTCGCGCTCGGGAGGCAGGTCCGCGTCCTCCACGATGATGAAGGCCTCGAGGGGGAAGGGCGGCGAGGAGCGAGGAGGGGCGAGGAGCCAGGAGGCGGAGCGAGGAGGAGCGAGGAGGCGGAGCGAGGAGGAGCGAGGAGGAGGATGAGGAGGAAGAAAAGGGAGGAGGAGGAGGAGGAGAAGCCGCAGCAGCAGCAGAGCAGCTGCAGACGACCGACGACGACGACGACGACGAAGCCGAAGCCGAAGGCGAAGCCGCTGCGGGAGATTGCGTTTCACTCCCCGTGCCTAACGTCCGTCACGGGGGAGACAAGGAGGGTCGGGCCGTCGTGGCGGGGTAAGGTGAACGTGGCGGCAGCGGGCCTGGTCGTACCAGCAATGATGGTCTATAGCAAACCTAGCGGTAGCAGCAGGACCGGCAACGGCCACGACGAGGGCGACGACGACCCGCGACGGCAACGACAACGGCAACGACAACGGCAACGACAGCGACTACGACGACGACTCCGACACCGACGACTCCGACGACACGCGTCGGAGACGACAACGACGACCCACAGTGACGGTGACGACATCGAAAAGTAGTAGCAGGTAGTAGTAGTAGAAGTAGCAGTAGTAGTAATAGTAGTAGTAGTAGTAGTAGTAGTAGTCGAAGTAGTAGTAGTAGTAGTAGTAGTAGTAGTAGTAGTAGTAGTAATAGTACGGGAAGTAGTAGTAGTAGTAGTAGTAGTAGTGGTGGTGGTAGTAGTAGTAGTAGTAGTAGTAGCAGGAGTAGTAGTAGTAGTAGTAGTAGTAGTAGTAGTGGTAGTAGTAGTAGTGGTAATGGTCGTAGTAGTAGTAGTAGTAGTAGTAGTAGTAGTAGTAGCAGTAGTAGTAGTAGTAGTGCAGATAGTAGTGGTAGTAGTAGAAGTAGTAGAAGTAGTAGTAGTAGTAGTAGTAGTAGTAGTAGTAGTAGTAGTAGACGTAGTAATAGTCGTAGTGGGAAGAGTGGTAGTGGTAGTCGTAGTTCTGTTCGCCGTAGTAGTAGTAGCAGTAGTAGTAGTAGCAGCAGGAGTAGTAGTAGTAGTAGTAGTAGTAGTAGTAGTAGTAGTAGTCGAAGTAGTAGTAGTAGTAAAATACAAGTGGGAAGATAGTGCGAGTAGGTATTGATGTAGCCGTCGTACTAGTAGTATGGTTGTGGTCGTATAAAGTATGTGAGTAACAACTGTACTTGTAACGAAAAAAGCACGACCGATGGAATTTGTGATAGTAGTCGATTTACTAGTCGTAATACTGGTACTAGTCGTAGTAGTAGTAGTAGTAGTAGTAGTAGTAGTACTAGTCGTGGTAGTAGGAGTAGTCGTAGTAGTAGTAGAAGTAGTAGTAGTAATAGTAGTAGTAGTAGTAATCGTAGTCGTAGTAGTAGTAGTCGTAGTCGTAGTCGAAGTAGTAGTAGTAGTAGTAATAATAATAATAGTAATGGTGGCCGGAGTAGTATTAGAAGTAGTACGAATAGTCGCAGTAGTAGTAGTAGTAGTAGTAGTAGTAGTAGTAGCAACAGTAGTAATAGTAGTAGCAATAATAGTAAGCAACATAATAATAATTGGTAGTAGTACTCGGAAAAAAGGGAACTAAGTTGTGGAACGCGTAGTAGAAGTGGTAGTAGTAGTAGAAGTAGCATTAGGAGTAGTAGGAGTAGTAGTAGTAGTAGTAGCAGTAGTAACAATAATGTTAATATGAAAAGTAATAGTATGAGTAGCCGTAGTAGTAGTAGTAAAAAAAGTAGTAGTAAAATTGATAGTAGTAGTAGTAGTATCAGTAGTAGTAGTAGTAGTAGTAGTAGCAGTTGTAGTAGTGATAGTAGTAGTAGTAGCACTAGTAGCAGTATAAGTAGTAGAGGTAGTAGTGGAAAAAATGAGCGTCACCGTAGTAGTTGCCGAAGTATCGGTAGTACCAAGAGTAGTAGCAATAGCAGTAGTGGTAGTAGTAGTAGTAGTAGTAGTAGCAGCAGCAGCAGCAGTAGTAGTAGTAGTAGTAGTAGTAGTAGTAGTAGTAATAGCAGTAGTTGTGTTAGTAGTAGTAGTGCTAATTGTAGTAGTAGTACCGGTAGCAGTAGTCGTAGTAAGAGTAACAGTAGTGGTAGACATAGGGACGGTAAGAGTCGTAGTAGCCGCAGTCGTCGTAGTCGTATTGGGAGCCTTCTGATTGTAGTAGCGGTGGCATTCGCAGTCGTATTCTATTGACCAGAAATGGTCGTAATAGCAGTAGTTCATGTAGCGATCACAGAACATGTAGTAGTAGTAGTAGTAGTAGAAGTAGTACAAGTAGTCGTAGTGATGGACAAAGACATAGTAGGAGTAGTCGCAGTAGTAATTTACTGAATAGTCGTAGTCGTGGTGGTAGTAGTGGAAGGACTAGTAATGAGCGTAACCGTCGTAGATGTAGTACTAGTGGTCGTAGAACTATTAGTAGAAGTACACGTAGTAGTAGCAGTAGTAGCAGTAGTAGAAATAGTGGCACTAGGAGGTAATAGCAGAAGTACTAGTCGTCGTAGCAGCCGTAGCGGTAATAATAGTAGTCGTCGCAGTGACAACAATATCATTACCAGTCGTAGCAATGGTAGTAGTAGCAGTCGTAATCTTAGGAGCAGGAATCATCGCAATAGCAATAATTCAAGTAGCAATCGTAGAAAATGTAATAGTCGCAATAATACAGATAGCAGTAGACGTAGTCGTAGAAGCAGCAGTAGAAGTAGCAGAAGTGATCGTAGTACTGGTGGTACTAGAAATACAAGCCGTAGTCGTAAAACTAATAGAAATAATGGAACCAGCAATAGTAATAGACGCCGCCGTAGACGTAGCAGTGCTAGTCGTAGTAGCAGTAGTAGCGAACACAATCACAAACATGAATTGTTACAAGTCGTAGTAGTAGTAGTAGTAGTAGTGGGAATAATAATAATTGTAATAATCAGAATAGTAGATACGCTAGTGATACTGATAAACAGAAGCGTCGTCGGAGTCGGAGTAGCAGTAGTAGTCGTAGTAGTAGTAAGGGTAGTAGTAGTAGTAGTAGTAGTAGTAGTAGTAGTAGTAGTAGTAGTAGTTGTGGTGGTGGTAGTAGTAATCACGCTGCCAGTACAAGTCGACATAGTAGTAGAAGTAGTAGTAGTAGTAGTAGTAGTCGTAGTAGTAATGGTAGTAGTAGTAGTTGTTGTTGTAGTAATAGTAGTAAGTGTAGTAATAGTAGACGCAGTTGTCGTAGTAGTAGTAGTAGTAGTAGTAATAGTAGTAGCAGTAGTAGTAGTAGTAGTGGTAGTAATCGTAGCCGTCGTAAAAGAAGTCGTAGTAAACGTAGTAACAGAAGTAGTAGTATTATTAGTAATACGAATAATAGAAATAATAGAGCTCACAATAGTTGAAGTGAAAGTAGTAGTCGCAATCGCAAAATTAGTCGTAGTAGTAGCACAAATAGTCGCCGTCGTCGTAGTAGTAGTAATAGTAGTAGTAGTCGTCGGAAGAGTAGTTGCAGTCGTAGTATTAGAAGTAGAGGAAGTCTACGTATAAGTAGTAGTGTTAGAATTCGGAGTAGTAGTAGTACTAGTAGTGATAGTAGTAGTAGTAGTAGTAGTAGCAGTAGAGTAGTAGTAGTAGTAGTAGTAGTAGTAGTCGTAGTAGTAGTAGTCGTCATAGAAATAGTAGTGGCAGTCGTCGTAGCAGTCGTGGTCGTAGTCGTAGTCGTAGTCGTCGTAGTAGTAGTAGTAGTAGTAGTAGTAATAGTAGTAGTAGTAGTAGTAGTAGTAGTAGTAGTAATAGTAGTAGTACTAGTAGCAGTAGTAGCAGTAGTAGCAGCAGTAGTAGTAGTAGTAGGAATAGTATTAGTAGTTGTTGTTGTTGCTGTAGTAGTAGTAGTAGTAGTACTAGTCGTCGTCGTCGTCGTCGTCGTCGTCGTCGTCGTAATCGTCGTCGTAGTCGTAATCGTAAACGTCGTCGTAGTCGAGCCGGACCCTCCCCCGCGTAAGATTGGCCCCACTCTGAAAAAGGGCGGGGGGGGCGACCCCTCGTAACCGACTTTGCGGTTTCACCTTCAAGGAATAAAAAACGATCTCAGGGGAGGGGGGCTGCGGCTGAAGAAATGGACCGCAGACTGGGGGGAGGGTATTCTTCGGGAGGAGGTCCCCATCTCCCGAAGTCTCCAGGAGGCCTGACATCGGCCCTCCAAAAGCATAGAACCCGATGGGGTGCCCCCCTCCTGAGGTGCCCCCCTAGGATGCCTCGCCCCCCTCCCCCGCAGGCGGCGGCACAGAGTGTCCTGGTTCTCGAGCGTGGCCGAGCCGAACTGCAGGGTGTCGTGGACCGAATAGCCGACCACGACGCCGCTGCCGTACGAGATCTTGACCTCCCCCCTCTCCTTCTGGGGCTCCCCAAAAACGTGTGGTGACGGACCGCATGGTGACCCCGGAATCCCCAGCGACCTCACCGCACGGTGCGTATCTGCATGTTCTGCGGACCTCGGAGGCCCCAGTCGCCCGAGACGTCATGGGAGAACGACCCGAGTGACCCCGACTCCCCAATGACTCACCACGCGGTGTGATCACCACGCCGGTGTGATCACCACGCCGGTTGAAGAACCTCCATCTCCCCTCCTCCTCCTCCTCCTCCTCCTCTTCCTCCTCGTCCTCCTCCTCCTCCTCGCCACTCGGTGTGCTCGGTGTGACTTGCCGCTTCAGAGGTCTGTCCCGCCGCAGAATCCTCCTCTTCCCCCTCCTTGCGCAGGCTAGGCGGCGCACGCACGCGCCCGCAGCGTCGGAGAAGGCACGGCCACCTGACGCCTCTTCGCCCGCACGGGCGGAAGCGCCTGAAGCAGGCCGTGCCTGGGCAGGAGCAGCAGACCATCGGCGAAACGACCAAAACGGATCAGGTCGAGGGCACCGTGGCAGGACAGGCAACCCCTCCTCCTCCTCCTCCTGCTCCTCCTCCTCCTGCTCCTCCTCCTCCCTCCACACTCGTGACGGCGGGTGCCTGCGGCGGCGGGCATGCGGTGCGACCGCGGCTCGGCGCGCATGGGTGGCTGACCCGCGCTGGCTCGGCGCGGCACGACACCGCAGGAGAGGCCGGTCTTGAGGGGCAACGTTCGGGGGGAGTCGCATCGAGCTCGAATCGACGGCACGTCGCCGATAGAAGGGCGATATGCCCACGATTCCGAATCCGCATGGGGGGACTCGAAGGGGTGGTGTCAGATTATGCGCTCCGCGCTGACCTGAGGGGGAACGTGGGGGGGGGGGGGGGGGCGCTCATCGAGCTTGACTCGGCGACACATCGCTGGTAGATCGGCGATATGTCCCCCGTTGCGAGTCCGCACGGTCCGGGCTGGGTGGGCCATCCGGACGCTGTCGGCGATCACTGGGCGGTTGGGGGCCGATGCGTCCCCCCGCTGCCTGCCCCCCGTGATGTTGCAGCCTGCGCTTTCTGAAGGGGGGTATTTTCCCCAGTGCGTGGATCTGGCACCCGCGCGCCAGATCGACGGATCGGGGAAGGGGGAGGAGGAGGAGGAGGAGGAGGAGGAGGAGGAGGAGGAGGAGGAGGAGGAGGAGGAGGAGGAGGAGGGGGAGGAGGAGGAGGAGGAGCTGGGCTGACGCAGAAACCCTGGATCGGGCACGCGCTGACACGGGTTGCGCATGATCTGGCGACGGAGCGCGCCGCTTCTGCCCGGAGGCGGGCCCCGTCTCCAACGTCCACGCGCCTCAGTCCATGTCTGCGTGTCCTCGGCAGCACCCAAATCACCATCGTGAGCGGCCACACCGTCTGCCCAGCCGTGGCTTCCCCTCCCTCCCGTGGGCGCGCACCACAGCGCGCGGCTGTCACTCCCGAGCTTCAGGCGCGGCAAGTCGAAGTCGGCTCGCGAGGGGCAACGCGAGCGCCGAGCGAAGCCAAACTGACGCGCGGCTCGCGGAGCAACGGTGCAGACACCAAATCACCCCGCTGCGCAGCACAAAGAGACCCCCCCAAGCCGCCCGCCCGAGGATGACGAGGTGCAGCCTAATCTATGACACCACCAATCAGAGGAGAAACACAGACCACGTCCACCCGGAACCCATCGGGAGGGGTGGGAAGCGACCCCTGGGCAATGGTCGGGAATCTTCTGCCCCGGGTCAATCCAGACCAGGTTCAATCAGGCCTTGCAGAATCTTGCAAAATCCTGTAAGATCCTGCACCCAGATCGGGGTCAATGTGAAGGATCCTGCAGGATCCTGCAAGATCCTGCACCCAACCCCAGGTCAATGCGACCCTGTCCCTGCAGGATCCTGCAAGATCGGGCGCTCTGGCTGACCCCCGTTTGAAGTGACCCCCGTCTTAAGGCTCCCGACAGAGAAGAAACACTAACAACCTCAACCAGGAACCCGTCATGGGGTGGGAAACGATCCCCTGGCGGTGGCACGCCCGAGCGTCGTCCGGCTTTTGGGTGACGCTCGGGAGTGCCGCCGCCCAAGAAGAATGCCCCCCCCCAAACTGGGCTCTCGGTGGCGGTGGTACCTGGTTCTCCTCTGCACCCAGCGCGCCACCGGCACATCGCACAGGCATCATTGCCTGACGGGGGCCGCGCCTCAGCTCCCACCTCGAACCCGTATGCCAACACGCCTGGGATCCTGCCGCTGAATCTTGTCTGGACTATCTGGCACTCTGATGGTGCACCCACGCACTTCTTAGACTGCAGCTCGACCTCTTTGGGCTGTCCGGAGTAGTCCATCTCCGGCTGGAACGTTGACGACGCATCAGCGTTGAAATCCGCCGCCGTGCCGAGAGGCACGGAGTGGAGTGTCGTCGCGTGCCTTCGAATTCTTGAAGGGGCCCCGACCCCAGAGTGTTGGACATTCTTGGGGTGCGTCGCGTGGCTTCTCCCGAGGCCAGGCAGCGCCACGACGCCTAAAGAGGGTGTCAAGAGGGCTGAAGACAGTACAGGACGGCTGCGAGTCAGCCCAATAGGGCTCCAAGACGGCTACGAACCAAGAGACCCCCGAGAGACTGGGCCTCAAGAACCCCCCAAGGTGGCCTCCAGATCTCAATATGCCCAAGGCATTGAATGTCCTATTATTTCGCATCCTTTCCGATACTCGCCTTCCCGAGCTTCAGGGCCACCGAGACGATCCAACAGGTTCCGAAGGTCCCCCCAAGACGGCCCCAAAGAAAGCCCCAAGACGGCCCAAAGCTTAGGTCGGGCATGCCCCCCTCCAGACGGATTTTGGATATAAAATTAAACATACCCTGAAAATGTTCAAAATGGCCCAAACAGATGCTCAAACAATAGTCCCAGCAGCCCTTTGGGCGTGAGTGGTTTAGGGAGCTCTCTCTGTTCTCAACCCCCCTTCTTCCCCTTCGGGGAGGGGTTTACCCCTCCCCCTACCCCCTCCCCCTGGGACTGGAGAGGTCCTTTCGCGGGTCGTCAGAGGGGTCATTTTCGACTCCTGGGAGGGCTAAAAAACGACACCCCTCACGAGGATTCTGGCCCCGACGGGGGGGGGGGGGGGGGAAAATGCTCGCCTCATCTATGATCGATCCCCTGACAGATGGCCCCAAGATTCCTCCCAGACCCCTCACAGAGAGCCCCACGAGGCCCCAAGAGGCCTCCAAGAGGCCCCCAAGATGCCCCCAAGAGGCCCCCAAGAGGCCCCAAGAGGCTCCCCCGAGGCACCCACGACGCTCCTGGAAGGCCCTGGAGCTGCCAAGAGGCGCCCAAGACGCCCCAAACGGCATCCAAGAGGCTCCCAAGAGGCCCGAAGACGCTCTCCCAAGGCACCCAGCACTCTCCTAGAAGCCCCAGGGGCCGCCAAGAGGCGCCGAAGACGCCCCAAGAGGCCTCGAAGAGGCTCCCAAAAGACATCTACTACTACTTCTACAACTACTACTACTACTACTACTACTACTACTACTACTACTACTACTACTACTACTACTACAACTACTACTACTACTACTACTACTACTACGATTATTACTACTACTACTACTACTACTACTACTACTACGTCTACTACGACTACTACGACTACTACTACTACTACTACTACTACTACTACTAATACTTGTACCACTACATCATCTACTACTACTACTACAACTACTACTACGACTACTACTAGTTCTAGTCCTGCTAATACTACTCCTACTACTACTACTACAACTACTACTACTGCTACTACTACTACTAGTACTACCACTACCACTGACACTAGTAGCACTGCTACTAGTACTACTGGGACTACTACTACTACTACTGCTGCTATTAATACTAAGACTACTACTCCTACTATTACTAATAGTCATATTACTGCTACTACCACGACATTTACAACTACAACTACTAAGACTACCATCACTACTACTGCTTCTAGTACTGCTATTACTACTTACTATTACTACTACTACTACTACTACTACTACTACTGCTACCTCTACTATTACTACTTCTACTCATGGTGTTACGGCCACTACTACTACTACTACTACTACTACTACTACTACTACTACTACTACTACTACTACTACTACTACTACTACTACTACTACTACTAGTACTAGTACTACTACTACTACTACATATAGACCACTGCTCTAGTGACTGCATCTGCTACTGAGACAACTAGTGCGACGACCACGCTGACGACTACGTTTGCTACTACCGCTGATACTGGTAATACCACTACACTACTACTGCTACGACGACTACTACTACTACTACTACTACTACTACTGCTGCTGCTGCTGCTGCTGCTACTACTAGTACTAGTACTATTGCTACGACTGCTACTAGTGCTAGTACTACTACTAGCACTACTAATTCTACTGCGACGGCTACTTCTACTGCTACTGCTACTGCTAGTGTCACTGCTACTGCTATACTACTACTACTACTACTATTACAACTACTACTGCTACTGCTACTACTACTAATACTACTACTACTAATACTTGTACCACTACACGATCTACTACTACTACTACTACAACTACTACTACGACTACTACTAGTTCTAGTCCTGCTAATACTACTCCTACTACTACTACTACAACTACTACTACTGTTACTACTACTACTAGTACTACCACTACCACTGACACTAGTAGCACTGCTACTAGTACTACTGGGACTACTACTACTACTACTACTACTACTGCTGCTATTACTACTAAGACTACTACTCCTACTATTACTAATACTCATATTACTGCTACTACCACGACCACTACACCTACAACTACTAAGATTACCATCGCCACTACTGCTTCTAGTACTGCTACTACTACGACTACTACTACTACTACTGCTACTACTACTACTACTACTACTACTACTACTACTACTGCTACCTCTACTATTACTACTTCTACTCATGGTGTTACGGCCACTACTACTACTACTACTACCAGTACTACTACTACTACTACTACTACTACTACTACTACTACTACTACTACTACTACTAGTACTAGTAGTAGTACTACTACTTCCATATAGACCACTGCTCTAGTGACTGCATCTGCTACTGAGACAACTAGTGCGACGACCACGCTGACGACTACGTTTGCTACTACCGCTGATACTGGTAATACCACTACACTACTACTGCTACGACTACTACTACTACTACTACTACTACTACTGCTGCTGCTGCTGCTGCTGCTGCTGCTGCTGCTACTACTAGTACTAGTACTATTGCTACGACTGCTACTAGTGCTAGTACTACTACTAGCACTACTAATTCTACTGCGACGGCTACTTCTACTGCTACTGCTACTGCTAGTGTCACTGCTACTGCTACTACTACTACTACTATTACAACTACTACTGCTACTGCTACTACTACTATTACTACTCACTCTACTTCATCTGCTATTAGTACTAGTACTACTACTACGACCACGACTACTACTACTACTACTACTACTACTACTACTACTATTACTACTACTACTACTACTACTACTACTACTGCTACTGCTACTGCTACTGCTACTACTACTACGACTCTACTACGAGGGGCCCGAACGACTCGCACGCGGACGAGGTGCCCGAACGCCTCACACCACGAGAAGCCCGACCGACTCACCCCAGGACGAGAGGCCCGAACGACTCACACCACGAAGAGCCCGAACGACTCACACCAGGACGAGGGGCCCGAACGACTCACACCAGGACGAGGCGCCCGAACGACTCACACCACGAGGAGCCCGAACGACTCACAACACGAGGAGCCCGAACGACTCACACCAGGAGGAGGGGCCCGAACGACTCACACCAAGACGAAGGGCCCGAACAACTCACACCACGAGAAGCCCGAACGACTCACACCAGGACGAAGAGCCCGAACGACTCACACCACGAAGAGCACGAACGACTCACACCAGGAAGAAGGGCCCGAAAGACTCACACCAGGACGAGAGACCCGAACGACTCGAACCACGAGAAGCCCCAACGACTCACACCTGGACGAGGGGCCCGAACGACTCACACAACCACAACGAGGAGCCCGAACGACTCACACCAGGAATAGGGTCCCGAAGGACTCACACAAGGACGACGGGGCCGCAGGACTCACACAACGAGGGCCCCCAACGACGCCCACCAATCGTCGTCGTCGTCGTCGTCGTCGTCGTCGCCGCCGCCTTCGTCGTCGTCGTCGTCGACGTCGTCGTCGTCGTCGTCGTCCTTCTCCCGCTCCCCCCACAAGGAGGATGTACAAGGAGGCGGGAGGAAGGAGGAACAGGGGAGACATGCGGGGCCAAGCGGACACAAGCCTGAAAAACACGACTGTCGGCATGCTTCGCAAGAGTTGCTGTTGTGAGATGGGCTGGTGGGGATACGCGAAGCGTAAAGAATTCCCATATTATGTTTTTTATATATATATATAACATGATTTGAATTTTCCTCCTGCAGAGGGACAGACCCGACTTAACCCCGAGAGAGAGAGAGAGAAAACGAACAGGTCCTAGGAGCCTTGCCTTCAAAATGCTAGCCCAAAGTCCCCGAGAAGCGCCCAGAATAGCCGAAAGGCCCCAAAGGGGCCTCCAAGAGGCCCCCAAGAGGCCCCGTAAGTCTCCCCAAGCGGCCTGGCACGGGCCCCCGAGAGGGACGCCAGGAGATCTCAACAATCCAAGAGACCTCTGGCACACAACCCTGGGACTGTGTCGGGACGGGCCAAAGGCCACTAGTTCCGACGCCCATGTTGCTTTGGATGCTCATTCTGGGGACCTTCCTGGAGACACTCGCTCCACTCTTGCGTCGAAGCTACATAGAACGTCCGTCGATGTGAGTCGACCCTGAGTCGAACCTGAATCGAACTTGAGTCGAACTGGGGTCGACGTAGAGTCGAGCAAATCTGTTAGGTGGGCCCCAGGAAGGTCCCCAAAGCGAGCATCTAATCTCCTTGCGGGGCGCACGGCGTACCAGGCTTTCACTGCAGCTCTCTGGGCCTGTCCAGACAGTGTCCAGCGGGGTCCTGACTCAACCCCTGAGCCGCAGTGCACCCCGCCAAGCAACCAGAACATGTATCTCATACATATAGATATATACACACATAAGCGTGTATGTTATGTGTATATATATATATACACAAAATAACAACAAACATACGCCAGGACCCCTCCCGGGGCGCCCTCCACCTCGCTCACATCTCTTGTAATGTCATTGCACCGGCCTTGCAGCCTTGCTGCAGCGGATTTCTGCGTGGATAGTTGCCCGAAACGGCGAGCGAAAAACGAAGTGAGTTTCGCGTGGATGTGTGTTTGGTCTTCCGGAATGTACCTCGAAATGTACGCACGGAATGTACCTCGAAATCGGGAGCGAAATTATCCAGGACACTGAAGGCCCATCCATTCGTTGTCCGAACGAAATCCGCTCTGCGATGCGGGCGCCATGACATATGGCATGCCGAACCTGATAGCTTTTGGCAACATTTGCTCAAGATTCCCGATGGCTTCCGCCGGGACCACCCCCCCAGCCGCGAGAGAAGGAGAGTCTCCGACTGGCGTCCTGCACCACAAACCCCCCCATACGGACCAAGAGGACCAGACGAGGCCCTCAAGGAGGGCCCGACGGCGCAACGGTGTTTGATTGTCGCGTGGTGCGTGACGGGTCTTCGCGCTCTCGCCCTCTCGGGCTTCCGACAGTCGAAGACGGCCCCAGAGACCTCCCAGATATCTCCAAGACGGCCCCAGTACCCCCAAGGGCGTCCCAAAGCAGGCCAAGAAGACTCCAAGACGGCCCGAGAGGCCCGCAGGACGGCCCACAAAAGAGCCCTGAGGACTGCCAAGACGGCCTTACAGCCAGGGTCTCAGGAGGGACCCAAAACAAAAAGCATCCGAAGGCGACCGATGGGTAGAGAGAACATGAAACTGTCCAAGAGACCCCCACGACGCCCCTCGGAAGCCCACAGGACGCGGACAGGACGCCCCCGGGAGGCCGCAAGATAGCCCCATGCGACCCCAAGTGGCCTCCTCCTCCTCCTCCTCCTCCTCCTACTCCTCCTCCCCCTCCTCCTCTTCGACCTCCTCCTCCTCCGCCCCCAGAAGTCTTCCCAAAAAGTTTCCACAACGGCTGGGAAAACAGATAGGCCCACGGCTCGGCCCGACATCGACCCAACGTTTGGCATCACATGCGCTTTCAGAAAGCAGGGGGGCGGCGGTGGTTAACCGTCGGCGTTCTCGATAGTGGTCGTTGTTGCAGCTGCTGCACCTCAGCGCTGGCGCCGCGAGACACAACACACGAAACGAGGGCGCAATCGCACACGCACCTAACATTAGGTCGGGCCTGTCTCCTACAGGGGGACTTTGGGCGACAAATTAAAAATAGTCAAAAATGCCCCAAAATGGTCAAACCAGAATGTAAAATAATCGTTCCCATACAATGTTTTGACTACTTTTGAAGGTTCCCCCTGTAGAGGGACAGGCCCGATTTAAACCTAACACTGGCGCGCCGCGCAATCTGCTGCAAGTGCGCATGACTGCCAACTCCCACCAGCCCGGTGGTTCAGGGTGCTGGCTGTTAAAATCAAGCAAACACACAGGCCGGAGTACCCCGTACGCGCACTCGTTACAGCGATACTTGATGCCTCAAGGGTGGCGGCGAAGCCGACTGCGCGAGCGTGAAACTGTGTGAGAACAATTCGGGTTCGACGGTTCTTTCCTCTCCTGCTCCTCCTCCCACCCTGCATTATTCCTCTCGCCCTCCTCCTCCTTCTCCTCCTCCTCCTCCTCCTCCTCCTCCTCCTCCTACCCTTCTTCTTCCTGTTGGGAGGCCCAGGTGCCGCGCCTGCTACATCAGGATGATCATCGGCCTCTGACCAGAGGCACCAGTGCTTCCAAATAGCACCATTCCGCCCAACAGATCACGCCCATCAGGGCGCGAACGGGACCGTGACAAAACCCCTGGCGGCCCCCAATATGGAAGCCCACATGCTTTGCCTGCTACATCAAACTGATCATCGGGATCTGACCTCCAAAAATCTCCCATTCTACTCGAGACCCGAGAGGTTCCACCAGTCCTGGCGCGAACGCGGCGGTAGAACACCGTCAGTCGTTAAAGGCTTAACGACTTTTGCCGTCCTTCGACTCGCGCTGGACCGGCCGCGAGTTGCTCCAAGTTTCCCTAAAGATCTCTGGGTTTACCTGGATTTACCCAGATTTGTCTCGACTTACCTGGATTTAACTGGGCTTACCTCGCTATATCTAAAATTACATGGATTTATCTGGCAGGATCCCCACAAGTCGATTGGTGAAAAGTCGACAAGCCCTCAGGGAGTCAGGGCCCGTCTATGGCCGCCCCCCCGGCCGCGGCCGCGGCCGCGCGGGGACGGGGCAGCGCCTCTTGGACGGCACCCAGAGGTCGGAGCTGCCAGAGTCGATCAGGCACCTCTGCCGCTGGCACCCGCGCCCAGGCGCTGGCGGCCGGAGCCCCCACACCACTGCTGCGTTTCCTACAGCAGAGGGCAGAAAGAACATCCACCCCGAGAACAACCACCCCGACACGCGAGGCCTCCAGTAAACGCGCCCAGAGAAGGAATCGAACGGGGCAGGGCTGTTGGGTAAACGCCCAGGGCCGTTTAGTAAACGCCAGTGGTCTGGTCCTGGTGGCTTTTCCTCCCTCGCCATCGCCCCCCGCTGCGACGCCCCCGAGGGACGACGAGGGGAGGATGCTGGATGCGGGCCCAGCCGCCACGGAGCAGCGCGTGCAAACTGCTCCCCGGCTACGGCGCGCTCGAACAGCAGGACAGAGAAGGGAGGACGCGAGAGGGGGGGGTTAGGTCGGGCCTCTCCCCCACAGGGGAATTCCGGGTGAAAAAAGAAACAGACCCAAAACATACTCCCAAATGGTTAAAAATAGTCAAGCAAAATCGTCCCCTGACTACTTTTTTATCATGTTCGAATATTCCCCCTGCAGAGGGACAGGCCCGACTTAACGAGGGGGGGAGAGGAGAGGAGGGACGGGGAGGGGAGGGGGGAGGGGGGGAGATTCGCTCTTCGCTGCGCTCGAGTTCGGCATGCGGTCCGAGAGCTGCTCCACGGGCCGCGCACGGATGCGGTGATGACGGGAGCGGTGGGGACGAGGAAGCAGGGGAGGGAGTCGGACTGAAGCCTGGTTCAGAGGATGCGGGGTGGAAGCGAGGAAGCGGCGGGCAAGAGGGAGCGCGAGGCGACGGGCAGAGGGAGGAGGCGGAAGCGAGGGCAGGGGGGGAGGAGGGGAGGGGGCAAACGAGGAGCGGGAGGGGGAAGAAGGGTGGAAAAGAACGAAGCGAAGGAGTACGAAGGCTGAGGAGGGGACAAGGAGACTGGCACGAAGAGAAGCATAAGGAAACGGGAGACGGACTGAGGGAAGCGGAAGGGGAGGATGAGCGAGAGCAAGAAGGGTGGATGGAAGCAAGCAAAGAGACGAATGATCAAATGGCAAATTATCGGAAGAACGAAAGACGGCAATGGAATGACGCAGGTGTTGCGTCGCTGTCCTCTTCTGGGCCTAATGCATCTCTTGCTCTCTCGCTCTCTCTCATTATGTCTCTTTGTGATAGTGTTCCTCTCTCTCTCTGTCCAACACTTCAAATATAGCTCTCTCTCTCTCTCTTTCGCACCTCTTTGTGATTGTACCCCTCTTCTCTTTCTACTCCTCTCTCTCTCACGTTCATTCACACACTCTCTCTCTCTCTCTCGGGAGCCCTCCGTATCCGTCTCTCTCCCTCTCCTCAAGATTCTCTCTCTGTCTCTCTCGCTCACTCGCTCTCTCTCTCTCTCTCTCTCGCTCTCCCTCCCTCTCTCTCTCCCTCTCTCCCTCCCTCCCTCTCTCTCTCTCGCACTCTGTCCACCATGTGCCTGCCTCTCTCGATCTCTCTCTCTCCCTCTGTACCCCCCGCCCAGAGAAGAACGGGGGCCCAACCGCGATGCCGAGCAGTGCAACGCCTGGGCCAAGGGGACGGAATACAAATCTCTGGGGGTCCACGCTGCGAAACAAAACACGATATGTAGAGGCCTCCTAGATGGGGTTGGAGTAGATGGGGTCGGAAGATCGCGCCGCATCGCCGATACATCGGCGATGCACCGGCGACGTCGACGTGAAGCAAATCGGGCCCCACATCGGGCAGCATCGGCGATGCATCCGACCCCATCTAGGAGACCTAGAATGTTGGAATTCTGGAAGTGCTGTGACTTGAGCATCGCCGTGCCAATCCGGCACGTACGTCGGCAACAAACCCAACGATACTGCAAAGAAGAACGATCGATCCGGGCGGCCTGAGTCTCTGCGGAGGAGTCCCAATGAAAATCTCCGCGATCTGCGAGTGGGCCCTGGATATCTCGTAAGCCGTGTTTGCTGACAATCAAGCGCATCGCTCGATATGATAATGGAATGCCCAAGAACACTCACGCGCAACCACGACACTTCATCACCCAGCCATCTAAGCTGGGGAATCGATGCCGCTCTCGTGGACCTGTCGCTCGAGCGGTCGACTCCTTCCCTCCCCGTCTTCCTCCTCCCTGCCCGCTCCTCCATCCTCCGTTCCAAAATTCTCCTCCCGCCTCCTCCCTCGACCGCCGCCCTTCCTCCTCCCTCCTCCTCCTCCTCCTCTCCTCCTCCTCCTCCCCTCTCCTCCCCCCTCCTCCTCCTCCTCCTCCTCCTCCTCCTCCTCCCTCCTCCCCCTCCTCCTCCTCCTCCTCCTCCTCCTCCACCTCCTCCACCTCCTCTCCCTCTTGTTCTTCCTCTTCCTGACGCAAAACTAGCGCGCGAACCACAGACAGGCTCGCACGAGCGCCCTTACGGCGGACGCGACGGCTCCTCGGAGGCCCGGCCACGTGCCATGCCCCTGGGCGCGCCCCCCGTGCAGCCTGCCCGCCCGCTCGCGCCGAACCGCCCGGAGGCCCAGATGCGGCCGACTCCGAGCCGGACCCGCCCGGGGTGGCAGGGGCCGGGAGGGGTACCCCCCGTCCGCCCGAGAGGGGCGAGAGGGGCGAGGGGGGGGGAAGAGAGGGAGGCCATGTGGCACGGCTTGGCCCGCCGCGGCCGAAGAGGCAGGTCCAAAGGGGGGGGGGAGGGGAGCGACGAAGGGGGGAGGAGGCGGCGGAGGCGGAGGGGGAGGGGGAGGGGGAGAAGGAGGAGGAGGAGGAGGAGGAGGAGGTGGTGGTGGTGGTGGCCCCCAATTCGTCCTTGCTTCTCTCTCTCTCTCTCTCGGTCTTTCTCTCTCTCTCTCTCTCTGCTGCTGGTTTCCCATCGTTGCATCATGCAGGTCGAAGGATTCGATGGAGAGGAAACGACGACGACGACAACGCGGACGGCAGGGGTGAAAGAAAGACGGTGACAAGGAAGGGCATGGAATGAGCGCCGAGGACCTCTCCCGAGGCGCGTTCTGACCAGGACTTCGAGGCGCATCCAGCGGTGGCGCCGAGGGCCTTCCAGGAGGCTCAGAAAGGTGGGAAAAGGAAGAGAAGGGCAGGGGTATGGGCACCCTTCCCTCATCTGAGGGAGGTTTGGAACGAGCGCCATTTGCCGAGCTCGTTCGATCTGTGAGCGTCCCCGCGCTCGAAACAATTGCGTCGCCAATCTCTCAGGGGCGCCTGCCTCCGCGCAACGACCCAACGACTGCCTCCCGCACCATCGCATAGAGTCGAATCGAGGCCATAAAAACATCCCTCAAGAGCATGAGACCCTCCGTCGGTCAAACAGACAGAACGTCTAAGGGAAGCGATCCTTCCTGGGGCCCAGGATGCACAAGAACGTCCAGCAAACTTTTTTGTTGATCTGCAGGGCGAGAGCGAGCCTCTTCCGCCAAAAGCTCCGCGGGACGCGCACAGCTTTCATTGGCAGAGATGGGCCAGAAGCGGGCGAAGCTTGGGGATCAGGCGGTGCCGAACGGGACGTGCAGGAACGTCCAGCAAACACGAAGAGCACTAGGCCCGATTGCGATCTTATACCCGAACCGACCTCAATCCTATAAACGGAAGAGGACGACGAGGAGGAGGAGCAGGAGGAAGAGGGAGCGCGAACACTGAACTTCACCCGACTCGGCCTCGACCGCTGTGCGAATCACAAGGTCGCCAGGCAAACCGGGACCACCACGCGAGCCAACCTGCGATAGGCAAGCTCATGCACTGAGGAGGAGGACGACGACGATGATAAGAGGAGCGAGGCGGAGATCGAGGATGCGAAGGGAGCAAACCGACACCTCGATCTGGCACCCCGGTCCGACTGTGGTGCCGCAGCGGAAGGATCCGGGGCGCGCAAACATGGATTAGCGATCCATGGATGTGGCGCGCGGTCAATGACCCATGGATCGGGGGAATTGCCCCCCAAAAAATGCGGCCGGTGCCGCCTAGTTCGGCGGCAGAATCCGCGATTTCCCCCGGAAACGGGGCCCGTCGCTAATCCACGCCCCCTGGATCCGTGTTTGCGATCGCCTGGAAGGAGGCAGCAAGAGTTAGGTCGGGCCTGTCCCCCTACAGGGGGATTTTGGCCGGAAAATCAAGCATACCCAACAAATATTCAAAACATGACAAAAGTGCCCGCGAATCGACACCAGACTAATTTTTGAGGAGGAGGGCCGACCTCGAACCGACCTCGATCTGTCCGGCTGTGTGGTGCCGCAGCGGAAGGATCGGCCCGCCTCTGGCGCGCCCGCGGCGCCCCCTCCCCGCGCCGACGCCCCACGCGAGAGCGGCGGGGAGGGCGGGAGCGCCCCCGTCCCACCCAGCCCCAAAGCAGAAGGAGCCGCTACAGGTTCGGTCGGGCCTGTACCCCTACAGGGGGATGTTGGGCAAACCAAAAAATAGAAAAAGAACCCGAAATGGCCAAAAGTACTCAAAACATCTTCCCCAGACTATTTTTGGTCTATCTTTGAATATCCCTCCTGCAGAGGGACAAGTCACGCTACAGTTAGACAGCCCAAAATTCGCTATAGGAACTGGCTTACCTCCAAAACGACGAAAAAGCCCTTCCGACGCCCTCCAAAAAAACCTCCGAACAGCCTGCCTCCCGCAACCCCCTTTTCCACTATAATTTTCGGACAATTTCGGAAAGGGGTATAGGCGGCTTGGAAAGGAAACCGGACCCTAGCGAGCCCTGGACTTCCTATCGCTACAGTCGTGCCGCTGGGATAAGGAACGATCAATCAGGAACGAAGCCCATTGTTTGGCCCCCAAAATCGCCAGCGTGCAGGAGGAGGGCTGGAGGAACAACCGCGGAAGAACCTTAGGATTAGGGAGGCGTGTCCCCCTACAGGAGGATGTTGGACAATATCAAAATCGGCCAAGAATAGAAAAACAATGTATCAAACAAATTATCTAAAAGCATACCCTGACTATTTTTTTGACTATCTTGAATAGTCCTCATCTTGTAGAGGGAATTAAACTTAGGAGTATCGATTCCCTGTCGCACCCAAACTGTTCCTTCTTTCAGCGTCCTTGACTTTACCGCTGCTTCCCGGACCTCTCCCGGGGCGCGCTCTGACCATGGGACTTCGAGGCGACTGGCCAGCGGTGGCGACGACGGCCTCTCGGGAGGCCCCAGAAGGCATGTCCCCCTACAGGCGGATTTTGGACGAAAGATTAGAAAATACAGAAAAACAAACACAATCAAAAAATATTAGAAAATCGTCCCGAGACTATGTTTTTGCTATGTTTGAAAGTCCCTCTTGTAGAGGGACAGGCCCGATTTCAGGATGGCGGTGTGGGTATGTTTGTCCTCCTCTGAACCTCCTCTCGCTGTGGGAAGATCTTGCTCTCTCCCCGCCACCGAGTTCTGAGCCGTCTGTGGTCATCCACTCCTCGGGTCGCCCCGAGCACGAAGGCAGGCCGTGCGCCCCCGCTTCGCCCGCCACCGACCCTCGTGCCTCCCCCGCACTCGCTGGGCGTGATGCCATAAATCACGCACGGAGCCCCAGATGCGTCATTTTTCAAGCTGGATTGATCTGTGAGGGTCCCAGGATCCGAACTTGAACGAAAACGCCCTTTGTGAAACAATTGCAACGCCTGGATTTCACGGGACCCCAAGACTGTCAGCGAACCGCCCCGGGATACGAGCCGGCCTGTGGATTGGGTCCAGGCCGCCAGGAGGCTGCGCTGTGACAACCAAAGTTATGGGGGAGATCTGGGTTCCCCCCCCGCCACACCGCCCCCCAGCCCTCCATCCCCCTCCTCCCCTCCCCGCCCTCGCCCCTCGTCGAGCTGTCGTGAAGAGCAGCCCCTCCTCTTGCTCCTCCTCTCTCTGGAGTCGAAGCGCAGCGCTGCGTCGCCTGCTCCTCCTCACCCTTCGCCTGTTCGATGTCCGCCTCGCTCCCATTATCATTGTCCTCCTCCTCCTCCTCCTCCTCCTCCTCCTCCTCCTCCTCCTCCTCCTCCTCCTCCTCCTCCCCCCCCTCCTCCCCCTTCCTCATCCGCCTCGACGATGAAATCAGCATTCGTAAATCCCCCGTCCTGGACGGGCATGTCGCTCGACGGATCCTCCTTTGCTACGGGAGTCTTGCTGAAGCCAGCCTTCAGATTGCCGAGCACCGACGGGTCCACCTGTGGCCCGAAAGGGGGGCGCGCAGGGCCTCGCCACCCACCCTCACCCTCCTGTTCCCCCCCTTCCTCCCTCCCTACCTCCCTCCCTACCTCCTCAACTCCTCCCTCATCCCTCCTCCATCCTCCCTCCTCCCTCTCTCCCTCCCTCCCTCCTCCCTCCTCCCTCCTCCTCCCCCCTCTTCCTCCTCCTCCGCTTCCATTTTCCCTCCTCCGTCCTCCTCCCCTCCTCCTCCCCTCTCCTTGCCCCTCCATCTCCCTCCCGAGCCCCCACGCACCCGGAGTCCTTCCGAAGATAATCACAGAAACGCCAGGAACCCTCAGCGACCCGACGGACCAATGATTTTCCGGGCGGCACACGTTCAGCAACACAGTGCACGCCAACCTGCGCTGCGAGCCATAAGGCACCAGGCAAGGCGCAGGGGCCGTGCGAGGCAGCCAAGGACGGGAGGGTGGGTGTGCTGCAGCATCGCTGGCGCATCAAGGGCTTACATTGGCCACTGCTCCCCCTCCCCCAGCACCGCACTTAACAAGTGGTATTCCCAAAGACACGGGGGGCACGGCTGCTAAAAGTGGACCCGGAAACGCGTCCCAAACAGAACGGTGTTGGATTGCCCAGAATGGAGCAAAAACTCAGTCACTCCCGGAAGGGGGTCGGCAAAATGGCACGTCACCCCCTTTTACAATTGCCAGATGGCATGGCACGGCACCCCCTTTTACAAACATACGTGTAGAAATTCATCAAACATTGACGGTTTCGTCGGGCTGGCCAGAGACATCCCGCGAAAAATGATCCACGGCACCCCGGCCCCCAAAAATATTCAATTTTGGCGGCGCATTTTTTGTAGCCGTGCCCCCAAGAATATAGTTCCTGAGCACTGCACATCCCCGTTGAGCCCTCGCGTGTCCTCGCGACCGCGACGTGAGGCCCCTCCTTCTGCCTTCCCCCCTCTGTAATTAAAGCTGTGCGCGGCCCGCTTAGCATCGACCCGAAGAGGTGCGCTCTCGACCCGCGGATCCAAAAAAGTCCTCGCGACCCCAGCCCGGGACAAGGCGTGCGCGCCTGCCGAGAGGCCCGCCCGAGCCCACGGCAGGAGCCTGGCCCCCGCCGCGCGGGGGGGCCGCGCGGCAGCGCCGGTGGGAGCGGCAAGAATCAAAGATCGGGGAGACGTAAGACCCGGGTACGGGGGACTCGGAAATCCCCGACGAGGTCGTCAAAAAAATGACGAGGCCGAGCCTGCATTTTGACGAGGCCTCCCGCTGCAGACATCCCACGAAACTCCTCCTCGTCAAAATCCGAGTCGCGGTCGTCAAAAAACGATGGCGAACCCGAGTCCCGGCAAACCCGGGTCTTACGCTCCCCCGAAAAGACACGAGCCAGAGCAAACCCCAGGCACGCAGGAGGCACCAGCCTCGGCGGTGAAAAGCCACCCTGTCGGGCTCGCTTCACAGGCCTGCGGATCCTGCTAAGCCTTCCTTCGGTCGTTTGTCACATTCTCGGCAGGCTCCCCGGCTTCGCCGGGGGGGCCGCCTTCGGCGGCTTGGCCTGCGGCGCTTATCCTGCACCGCACGCCAATTGGAACAAAACGCCTCCGAAACGGATCGTTCGGGGCACTGTTGGTGCACACAATGGCCACTCGTGGGTCCGTGGCGCCAACAAACCTCCCTTTATAGTAAACCACCCTTTCTAAAGAAAACGGCCTAGGACCGAAACCGACGGACCTGGACCCGAAAAAATGACTGCCGCGCCGCCCTCTCGCCAACCGAGAACGGCCAATTCGCTAATCGACGTGTCAGGGCAGGAGGTCTATCAACCTCCGACAAACCCGCCCCCCACCCATACCCAAAATGCGGCCGGTGCCGCCTCGCTCGGCGGCGGAACTCCGCGATTTCCCCCTCTGGAAACGGGACCCGAAGCTAATCCACGCCCCCTTGATCATGTTTGCGATCGCCTGACTCTTGGCCGTCCCCGACTCGCCTCGCCCCCCCTCGCCGACGCGCGACCTGGTAGTCGCTGGTCGGCGCCGCGCCCTGCTTCAGCCGCAGGTGCGGCGACGCCCGCGACGCGAGCGGGAGCAGCCACGCGGCGAGGCGCAGCGGCCTGCGCGCCGCCCCCCAGGCCAAGGGGGGCGGGGGAGGGAGGGAGGAGGGGGAGGAGGAGGAGCAGGAGAAGGAGAAGGAGGAGGAGGAGGAGGAGGACAATGATAATGGGAGCGAGGCGGACATCGAACAGGCGCAGGGTCAGGAGGAGGAGGAGGAGGAGGAGGAGGAGGAGGAGGAGGAGGAGGGGGAGGAGGGGAAGGAGGAGGAGGGAGGAGGAGGAGGAGGAGGAAGAGGAGGAGGAGGAGGAGGAGGAGGATTGGGGGAGGAGGAGGAGGAGGAGGAGGAGGAGGAGGAGGAGGCGGAGGAGGAGGAGGAGGCGGAGCAGGAGGAGGAGGAGGAGGGGAGGAGCAGGAGGAGGAGGGGGGAGGAGGAGGAGGGTGGGGGGGGGGGGGCGCGCCGCTCGCCGCCCTCCGCCCCCTCGTCAATCGCCGCTCGCCGCTCGCCGCACGCCGCCGCTCGCCGCTCGCCGGTGCCCTCGAAGAGCGTCTCTTGGCAGCCCTCGCGCGGGTGCCCTGCGGGCGGGTTCGGCGGGGTGCCCTGCGGGTGCGGCGGGCTCGATCGAGTGGGGCCGGATGCGCCACGATGCACAACGACGCCATGCACACGTCGGGCCGTCAAAAGCCCAGGCATCGAGTCGGATCGGGCCGACCGGAATGGACATCGAATCGGACAGATCGGATCACGATGTACCCTGGAGGGGGCGTCTCGTCCGCTCAGCGCCCCACCCGTGGAGAGCGGGGGACCCCCACTGCCTCTCGCTGCGAGAAAGAAAACATGGCGGGACCATCTTTAGAGGGACACATACGGCGTAAACTTAAGTCGGGCGTGTCCCTCTGCAGGGCGAATATGCAACAGTAGTCAAACAAAGACCCTGGGTACATGTTATCTGTCTGTTTTTCCTATGTACGAAAACTTTTCAACGATGTTCGATGGTTCCTTCCAAATCCGCCTCCAGGTGGACATGCCCGACGTAAGCATAACAACATTACCTTTTGGAGGTCCGCGCGGATCTCCCGTTTCGGCGCTGGACGCCCCTCCATGGCGCACGGAGCGCGCCAGGTGCGGGGCCCAAACGCGGATGCAGGACACCCGAGCGGAGCTCAGACAACTCGTGTGTATGCCGCTCTCTCTCCTTCGAGCTCTGGGCCACTTTCAGCCTGCTGTTTTTTTTGAGCACGACCTTGCGCTGCATGACTAAAGCACGCTGAAAGTGTCTGATAGCAGGGTCACTCCACTCGCGTTGGGGTGGAGGCCTTTGCATATCTTATACCAGGCTCCTGCGGGGGCTTTCTCCTTGCCAGTCTTGGGGTCCACAGGGCGGAATTTCGACCTGCTGGGGGTGCGTTCTGACCAGGATCTCGAGGCGAACCCGGCCGTTGCGGCGAGGGCCTCCCACGAGACAACCTGCACTCCACGACATAGACAACAACAACAACACACATATTGCAGAACATAGGTTGCACAGCATGGGCTGCACCACATATATTGCATTACACGGATTGTACCACACATATTGCACCACATCCACTGCATAACATGTATTGCATCACCTATATTGCACCACCAGAAGTGCACAACATGTATTGTGCACTGTAGATGTTACAGCATATATGGCGATACAGAAGTTGCACCACCGAGTTTGCACCACATGGATTGCTCCACATGTATTGCACCACATAGGTTGCTCTACATAGATAGCAACATCTATATACATATATATATATATGTGTATATATATAGGTATATCTATATACATATATCCCTAGAGACACACTGTCTGGGGTCCTCGCTATCTGTCATTTGGGACGACACCAAGCGAGAAGGAGAGAATGTCAGCAATAATTTGCCAGTCTACCCACCTGTCCGAGCAAAGAATGCGACTGGCGCTGCGTCGAGATCGTGGTTCCAGGCCGAAGGCCATAGCCGAAACTACACATGGCAAGCTCGAAGGCTGGAAGCCTTGCCGAATGACCACCCAGGGGGGCTCTGTCTGAGAGGGCAGAATGCCACATGAGGTCGGGCGAGTAATGGCCAATGTTGGGGAGAGGCCAGAGTTGAGGAGGCCCTGGGACACACAAGTAAATAGACACAAATAACAGGCTTCCCATCTGTTCCCATATTTTGGGGGTTTTCGTCTTCCCTCCCACTTCCCATAGTTTCCCATACTTTCTGGGGCATCGACGATTCATCGTGTCTGTGTTCTTTCCTCCTGAAGACTGCACTTGAGAGTAGCACTCCTACTCAGTAGATGTGGGACGGGAAGAGATCTGAAGGTGTGCGACGGGGGGAGATTCCAAGAAGATCTCGCAACATCCAAACTGCACGATATCAACCATGTGCCCGGCCCCCCCGCCAATGTTCGCCAACACCTTCTCTGACGGCTGGCTTTGGCAAGTGGTGCCAGGTTGGTTCTGGCAGCAAGACTTCCTGAAAGAGCGGCGTCCGAACCAGCCCAGAACAAGTCCTTGGACCCCTTTGCGTAGCCGCGTCCAGCCACGGCGACGAGGAGGGCCCCCCAAACCCACAGGGCCCCCCCCCGTTTTCCTGGCTTCCTGCTGCCCGGCCCTCCATGTTTGCAATTCCGATGCTGGCTTTTACCAGCCTCGAACTTATCCCTATCCCTAAGATTGACACGCCAAAAGGCGATGACAATCTTAGGGATTCGCCCTCAAACAATTAAGGGAATCCCTAAGATTGGCATCGTGATGAGGAGATGCTCAGCGTAGGGATAGGGATAGGTTCCAGGCTGGTAAGGCTTCTCACGCCGGGTCGCCACGCTATCCAGTCCTGATCTCCCCTGCCCGAGCCTGGAGCAGCGCCGGCTTCCGCGGGCGGCATCCATGGCCCGAAAGGCGGCGGCGCGTGCTGGCCGGAGGCGCCCCGAGTCACGACCGCGGGCGCTCGGTTCGGCACTCCTGGTTCGAGCCCCGAGGCGCTGGCATGGCGCGTCCCGGGATGCACACGCGCGCGCGTGCACGCGCTCCCTCCTGCGGCAGGTGCGTGCCGTGACGATCCCAGCGCTGGTTAGATACCGTTCGACCCGGAACGATCGGCGGCGTTTCGATCGACAGATCGTCCCAGATGGGCCGATTCTGGGACACTGGCGGCGTTCAAGCTTGTCCGCGGCGGGGTCGCCGCGGCGTCGACAAGACGCGAACCTACCCTAGCCATGCGTGTCATTACGCCTCTGTGCCGCACCTGCTCAACACCACCCCGTAGACCCATCGTGAGCATCGTCCCCTGACTCCCGACCATCGTGACAAGTCAAACATCCTCCCCCGACTCCCGACTCGCAGGACGTCGTCTGCTCCAGACACTAATCGGAGGCTCCTCCTACTTGGTCGTCTGCTCCAGACACTAATCGGGGCCTCCGAAAGCAGCCGTCCTGGTCGGAGTGCAAGACAAAGACCCCTTCCCTTCGAATCTCTTTCCCACCTCCCAACTGATAAGCAACAAACGTACCCGAAATCCGCCGACCCCTTGGGGATCATCGGCGCGTGAGATGCTTCCCCCTCCCCAAACCCCTCCCCCGGGAGCCCGGTCCGGTCGATTTGGAGGGGGGGGGGGTCCGGGACGAGCGCAGCACGGCCGGGACAAGCGGTTCACGGGGCTTTTCCGGGCCCAAGAGGGCCTCAAGACGGGCCAAGAAGCCCCCAAGAGGCCTCCAAGACGGCCCACGAAGGCCCCGAGACGCCAAACGACCGCTCCAAGACGCCCAAGATGGCCCCAAGACGGGCCAAGAGGTCTCCAAGACGGCCCCCGAGGTCCCAAACAAGCCTCCCAAGAGGGCCCCAAGAGTCTAAAATTGATGATGTTCCATTGTTTTTTTTTAATGTTTTTTGCTTGTTCCGCCTTTTCGGCTTCCCGACGCTCCAAGACGGCCAAAGAGGCCCCAAAGACAGCCCCAAGATGGCCAAGAGGCCCCCAAGACGGCCTCCAGACGGCCCAAGACGGCCCCAACACGGCCCAAGAGGTCCCCAAGACGGCCCAAGAGGGCTCCAAGACGGCACAAAGAGGGGACCAAGAGGGCGACCAAACATGTTGAAACTCTAGCTTTCTGCCCCCAGGAGCCCCAGGGGGCCCCAAGGAACCCCCAAGAAGCACCCCAGAGGCTCCGAAACGGCCCCCAAGTGGCTCCAAAACTCGCTTCCAGAGGCCCCCGAGAAGCGATCCGCGAGATCCCGATACACATACAAGAAGCCTCTCACCCATAACCCATAACCAAGAGTAAAAGGCCCCAGAACCCGAATATACGCGCGGCTCCCCGCCAACATTGGGCACGTCCCTCATACATTTCGTGGCTCCACGGCGCGCTCCAACCATAGCCCCAGTACCCGCGGTCACGTAAACTTCCAACCCCACGCGCACACACACACACGTCGATCGTGTCGTGGCTCCAGAATACGTCCACCGTGGGGCCCAGTGGGAACATTCGCATGCAAATATACCCCATGCCGGCACACCCTTTGCACGCGCCGTGGCCTCGCACATGGCCAAATTGACCCATCATGACTCCTGGGCAGTCCCCCAAAAAAACTCCCGACCGCTACCGAAACGGCTCGAAGACATTCCCGAGCCCAACCTGGCTCCATTATGCCTCTCAGATGGCCCCAGATGAGGCCACGACCGCCCGCGGTGTCGCCGTGCGCTCGGACCCCCCCGCGGAACTGCCCGAGACCCTCTGGCGGTGGCGGCGAACAGACACCAAACAAATATCACTCGCCTTTTCACCCCTTCGCAGCTTCTACTACCCCCAGATTGGCATAAACAAGGGGTCGGCGGTGTGGCGTAAGCCTAAGAATCATTTGGGAGGGGACCTAAGCTTGGATGGGGCCAACAACATTAGGGGTAAATTGTTATGCAGCTCTGTCAGGCGAGACCACCCATACGTTACGGATATCCCTGAGAACGGTGGACCTGAGGTGGGTCAGGTCAGGTGTTGTATGACCAACGGCCACCCTGCCTCCCCTCCTCAAGCGCGCAGAAGATCGAGTCATACGCATGTAGGGGAACCTTTTTCTTTGATCTCCTCCCCGATGGGGGGGGAGAGGGCGGGGCGGTTTGGGGGAGGGTGTTCTGGCAGGGCGGGGGGGGAGGGCGCGAGGGCGGATGGTGGGGAATCCCCGAGGGGGTCCTGGTGGGCGCTGGGGCCAATTTGCGCCCACCTGGGGCACACCGGGGCCACCTCGGGGCCAGCTTGAGGCCAATTGGCCCCCCTCCCTGCCGCCAGTTGGCTGCCCTCCTGCCGCCTCCCCTGCTTCGATGCCCCTCTTCTGCAAGCTCCTTCTACTGCGCCCCTGGCCCTCATATGCTTGCTGCTCCTCCCGCTTCCCTGAGGGCAGCGACAAAAGAAGACCGGCTCAGGAGGAGAAAAGCCGATCTGGAATCGGCGATGCATCGCCGATGAATCGGCGATAGGCCCAGGATAACTAAGCCGCACGTTTCTAAGCGGGGCGGGCTGTCAAGCCCGAACTAATCGGTGATGAATGTCCGACTGGGGTCACTGTCTCCCCCCTCTGAGCCTATCCCCCCTAACGTTGCCTGCGTCGCCCTCTTGCCTCCAACGGCAACCCTCGACCTCTGAAAACTTCTGAGGATGTCCACCTTCGGCCAACCTTTGGCTCCCCAAACCACCTTAGCCTCTTGCCTCCGAGGGCCATCTTCGGCTCCTTCAACTTACTTTTCGGGATTTGACTTGCTGAAGGCCGATCTACCCTTGCCCATTTATCTTCGATCAGGTGGAGCGGGCCGCAGCGCATCTGAAGTACAATGCTTCTTCTCTCTTTGCCACACTCCAAATCCGCTCAGACTCGGCGATGGACCCATTCCATGCAGCTCGAGCGGATTTCAGCGAAGGTTGCGGGTGCCCCCTCCTTAGGGTGAAAAGACATGGCGGTGCGCGCGACAAGCGGCATGGGGAGCAAAAGAGCACCCCCACCCTTTGGAAGCCCGAAATGGGTACGGAACAAATTGGTACAAAGCCCAACAACAAACGTCGTCCCAAACAGACAGCGGTCGCTGTTGGGCAGGCGGCCTCCTGTCTCGAATGGACACAGGCCGCGGCGGCGCGGACAGCGAATCTGTTCCAAATGCACAGGAACTGCTGTTGGGCATCGGTACCCACTCTTCCTGTACCCATTTCGTGCGTGCAGACACCCCCACCTGTGCGGGCAATATTTATATCCATATCCACTGCGTCTTGGACTTTCTTGAAGGGGCGCCGCAAGGCCGAGGCGCACTGGACATGGAAAAAAATCTCGCCTTTTGAAGGCAGATTATAATCCATGTCCAGTGCGCCTCATGTTTCTGGCGCAGAGAGTCCGAAACTCCAAGACGCCCTGGATGTGGATACAGACGCTGCCGGCAACCTGGCCCCCCTCCCGTGCGGTGCGGGCCGGGTGGGGGCGGGGTGCTCGTGTCGTGTCTCTGCTGCGCGACGCCCTCGCGGCCGGAAGAGCCAGCGCTCTCTGGCCGAGCCCCGAGGAGGGCGGCGTCGCGCCGACCCCCCTGCGGGAGCCCTCCCTGCGGGGTGGGGCCCCTTCCTGGAAGCCTCGCAACGGCCCCAGCGCAGCCACCGGGACGCCCCTGAGGAAGCCCCGTGGGAAGCCCCAGACGTCCGCGGGAAGACTTCGCTCGGGCGTGTCCCTACAGGCGGATTTGGGGTGAAAAATGGAACATACAAAAAACAACTCCCAACATGTTGGAAAATAGTCAGACTATGTTTTGACTATTTTGAACATCCCTCCTGTAGAGTGACAGGACCGACTTAAGGGAAGACGGTGGAAGCTTCGGCAGACCGGTGGAAGAGCGACACCACCGCCACCAGCGCGAAGGGCCAGGGAACGAGGGTCCCCCCACTTGGTGGTGTGTCCCCCCCTCTTCCCCGCTCGAGGCGTCACCTACAGTAGGGGCTCGACCACAAGAAACCTTCCACAAGAAACCCAACCATGGAACCCCAGGACGTGATTTCTGTCGTGGGGACGTCACGCTTTCCATGGCAAAACCATCGAAGCCCAAGAAACCCAGGGCACCCTGGAGGCCAGCAGGGTGTTTCTTGGCTTGGGCCCCCACTGTATCCCCGGCTCGGGCAGGCATCGTGGACCTCCTCGCTGGAGGTGGCACGCCCGGTGGTGTCGCTGTCGCATTCGCTTTCCCCGGGGCCCTAGAGGCCACCCGCAGGCACCGGGGGCGCTCTTGAGGGTCTTTGAGGCCCCTGGGAGGCCCCCGAACAAACAGGGCGCGGGGGAACCCATGGGGAAACATGAGATCCCTGGAATCGGCACGATCGAATTACAACGGTGATGAGCATCGTGTATCCGACCCCCATCTCCAGCGGCGTGGCCTGGGCCCCACTGGCCGATTTACCCCCCTAGATGGGGATATAGGCCGTTCTCTTGGGGTTACGAGGGGTGTATCCCCAACTGGGGTGGTACTTTGGTGGGGGTCTAGAAGGGGATGAGGATGGGGATGGGGATTGGTTAAACGATACCGAAGTACAGCACCCAAATAGCGCAGAGGTGAAAAGGCGGTCCGAGGAGCAGGAGGTCCGCTGTGGGGCAAACAGGGCGGAGACACGGCCATTGGCACTCTATAGCGCATCTTATCGCAAGGGATCGTGGCCGTCTGGGCCAAACATAAGGGAGCGACAAATGACATGAACATGCAAGCAACAACGAATAATGCCCTAAGCATAACGAACCTGTGGAACAAAAGAAGAACATGCTAAAACAAGTCTATTGCACCACGAAGAACGGCATAAACATGGAAACTCGGAGGTCCGCGCGGATTTCTCGGATCCGCGCTGGATCCCCTCCCTGGCGCGCGGAGCGCGCCAGAGGCAGCGCCGGAGGCGCTGCCAGGGCGCCCCAGCGCGGATCCGAGAAATCGGCGCAGGACATCCAAATTGTTATGTTTGTGTCATGCTTCGCTGACCTAAAAGATGTAGCTGGCACAACGGCGCGTATACGATTCCGGAAGAACTTGCGTGGACATCTCATGCGAAGCGGCTGCTGACCCGCTTCCGGACTGGGCGGTCTCGGGCCCCCCCATGCCCCCTCTGGGATTCCTCTGCGGTCCTTTCCCCCCTCCTCCTCCTCCTCCTCCTCCTCCTCCTCCTCCTCCTTATCCTCCTCCCCCTCCTCCTCGTCATCCTCCTCCCTCTCCTCCTCCACCTCCTCCTTCTCCTCCTCCTCCTCCTCTTCCTCCTCCTCCTGAGGAGACACTCTAGCGAAACGCTTTTAGGGAAAAGGTGGTGACGAAGACCGACAGCAGCTCCTGCCCATTTTGAACAGGACTCGCTGTCGGTGTCGCGCTGGGCTTTGTCCCCTTGAAGCACACAATCTCCTGCCCAACTACGGCCACCGTTTTCTGTGGGACATCGTGCCATTGTTGTCCGCACCCATGTCAGACTCACCAACGGAAGATCTATGGAGGCACTTGGGTAGCTTGTGGAGGGCCCCAGGAGCTCCTAGCGGCCACTGCGAGGACCTTTGAATCCACCTTCGCTCAAAAGTCTGGCTCCCCTAAGCGTGTCATAGCCACCGCTGCACCCCAGAAGCGCCAAGAAACCTGGGAAAGCAAGATCTTCACTCAGGGACAACTCGGGAAATATGTTCAGACTCTGTCCTGCACTTGCATGAGGCGAGGGACAACGAGGATTGAACGGATTGACGGATAATGTACGCACGGAGTCCGCAAGGGGAGACACCGACCCTGAAGTTCACGTAGATTGTGGGGCATCAACCATTCCACAACCTAAACTGTCTGAACGGTCTTTGGCTGGTATCCGCAGGCCTTTGCACTCGGTTTTATCATGACCCCGCCAGGGCCGCTGAGCGTGGAAGGAAGAGGATGAAGAGAGGGGGACACGGAGGAAATTCGGATCGCTTCGGGCCCTGCGGATGTTAGGACGAAACAAGGACGAGGAACAATTCGGGTGGGGATAAATCGGGGATCTCTGAGATGCGGCGGCCCATGGAAGACGCATCGGGCACCGCGGCCTGCTCAGAGTGTTCCGGCTCGCTCTGAGCGCGTTCCCGAACGCTCTGGAGTGGATTTGCTCTCGTCGGGGGAGGGTGCTCGCAGCTCGGGGGCCACCACTCGCAGTCCGAACGTCGGCGTCCACACCCCCGCACTGGCCGGACCCGTCCCCTCCCTTGAAGCTGGCTGGGACATGGAGGAGGAGGAGGAGGAGGAGGAGGAGGAGGAGGAGGAGGCGGAGGCGGAGGCGGAGGCGGAGGCGGAGGAGGATAATGACAAAGAGAAGGAAGAGGAGGAGGCAGGAGGAAGGAAGAGGAGGAAGGAGTGGAGGAGGGTGAAGTGAATAAGCAGGAGCAGGAGGCAGGAAACATTCCACCTCCGGGCCTTGTGCCTGTTGGGGCGTGTTGGAATGCTCTTCTGTTGCCTGTGAGATTTCTTGGAGTTTTCTAGGGCCCCCCCCCCGCCCTCGCCGTGCGCGTGCCTCGAAGATTGCCCCCCTCCCTCAATTTGCATTCCGCTTCTCTTTTCGGCCTCCAGACGGCCAGCATGGCCTCCAAGAGGGCTTCCAAGACAGCCAAGATGACACAGAGAAGGCCCAACATGGCCCTTGACAGCCCAAGAGTCTCCCAAGACGGCCGAAGAGGCCCTCAAGACAGCCCAAGAGCGCTCCAAGACGGCTCCAAGAGGCTCTTCGGGAGAGCTCGCGGAGGTTTCGATGCATTTTGAGGTTCTCGCCTGTTTTGGGTGTCCGACCGTGCAACACGGCCCAGGCGGCCTCCTCCACGAGGCCGCCAGCATAATTCCACGACAATCCAAGAGGCACCTAAGAGGGTCCCAAGTCGGCAGAAGGGGGCCCAAAAATCGCCCAAGGGGCTCCCCAGAGGGCCCCCAATACGGCCCTGGCGCGCTCCACGGGGGCACAAGAGAGGCCCCCGAGACAGGCCAAGGGTCCCCTCAGACGGCCCAAGATAGCCCCAAGATGCCCCCTCAGTGGCCCCAGGAGGCCCCCGAGAGGCCCCTAAGAGGCCCTCAGGATGTCCCACGAGGACCCACAGAAGCCTTCTCCTCGTCCTCATGTTCTCCCTCTCCCTCGTCCTCTTCCTCCTCCTCCTCCTCCTCATCATCATCATCATCTACCAAAACCATCATATCGCGCGGACGACCACCAGGCCCAGATCACGACCCTTCCCAGTTCAGACCACTCGCTGAACTGCAGCGGGGCGTGAACTCGACCTCCTTCCTATCGCGCGGACGAAGACGAGGTCGAGTTCGCGACCCGTTCTAATACCGACCACTCATAATAATTGCGCTGTTGCTACACTCACTCTCCTTCCCGCTGCGCTGTTGCACAGGCACGGTGGCGGGGTTTGCAGCAGGCAGTTGGATCATACTGTGGGAGGCGGGACACATAAATGCCTCTGTCAATGAAGCTCCAGTGAGCGGGAAAAGCGAATAGGATGAGGAGGAGGACGAGGAAGAGGAGGAGGAGGAGGAGGAGGAGGAGGAGGATAAGAACACGCAGGAAGGAGGCGGATGGGAAAACAAAACGATACCAATCGCGCGCTCTGACCACGATCCCGAAGCGAATCCCGCCGTTGCGACAAGGGACGCGCCGCCGCACAGGCACCTCACTTCTCCTCCCCTGACGGGAGCACGAGAAGAGCGGGGCGAAAGAGGAGGAGGAGGAGAAGGCACGACCAGGCGGCTGCCACAAACGCGGACAGCCCAGAGGGAAGCACCACATGTATCCGACTACCTACCAGACCGCCCCAGTCAAACCCGAAGACCCGAATTTCGGGTTGGGGGGAGTTCATGTTGAGGCGGCACCGTCGCAGAATAATAATTATGGGGAAAACGTAAGACTCGAGTAAGCCGGAATTCGGTATTTGACGAGCGAGTCTTAGAGTTTGAGGGTCCAGTTTTCGTGGGATGTCTGCAGCGGGAGTTGGCGTCAAATTTCAGACTGGGCCTCGTCAATTTTATGATGGCCCCATTAGGCCAACCCGAGTCCGCCGTACCCGAGTCTTACGTCTCCCCGAGGGGCACGAAAGGGGACCTTTTCTGACCCCCAATTTGTGACCCCACCATTAAGCCACGCCCAAGGGTCACGAGTTGAGCGGTCACCGTGCGAGGCCGCGCGTCCAGGGAGCCGCATACCCCTCGAGGCCCCGACGTCGGAGCCGCCGGCAGCAGGGGTTCCTAGCTCAGGGGCGAGCATCTCGCGCGTTCGCCGGGGAGCCGCGCCGAAGGTCATGGGCGATCGAAGCCCCTGGATACTCACCACCCACCAAACCACCGCAACCCAACCCGAAAATCTCAATTTGCCCTCCATTTCCAGTGGTGGGGGGGTCGGGGGACATCGAGAAAGCACGTATGGAACCCGTGCCCAGGATGCGACGTATGGAGATTGGTGGTCCTTATGCTAGAGACGGTGCCTTTGGTGAACCGCTCGGGGCCCTCGGTGCGCGATCGAGACTCGGCGAGGGGCTGGCGCAAGAATCGCTGGCAAGCGGAAACCTACTCCTCGCACTGTTCAGTTTGGCGGTGGCATCGTCAACTGCCCCGTGAAACACAAACAACTAGGCGTACGGGCATGATGGTACGATGCCCAACAGCATATGTAGCCCCAAACCGATGGCGGCCACTGCTGGGCAGGCGGCGCCCTTGTTGTCTCACGTGGATGACGCCCGCAACGGAACCGGCAACGAGCCCATGTTCGAAATGGACAAGAACAGCTTTCGATCGCCCCGATCAGGGCCCCATCCGCTGGTGAACCCTGGGGCCTTCGCGAGGAGGAGGAGGAGGAGGAGGAGGAGGAGGGGGAGGAGCAGGAGGGAGCAGGAGGAGGAGGAGGAGGAGAAGGAGGAGGAGGAGGGGGAGGAGGAGGAGACGGAGGAGGCGGAGGGTGAGGAGGCGCGCGGCGGGGCCGTCCTTCGGTCCGCGGCGGGTGGCAGACGCGGCGGGGCGCAAGGACGTCGGGGCCCGCGCGCGCCAGCCCTGCGGCGGGCGCGCTGGGGAGGCGAGCGGCGCAGGGGCACAGAGAGAGAGAGAGAGAGAGAGGGATCCTCGACCTCTGGGCGTGAGTGACAGTGAGTGGGGGGGCGATGTGCTCGGGGGGGGGGGAGAAAGGTGCACTTCTCGGGCCGAAAGGCCCCCTTCATGGGCCCAAGCGGGCTCCTGTGGGGGCCCTAGGAGGGCCCCTCTCCTGCAGCCCTCCCCGCATCGCCCCCCCGCCATTACGCGACGCCCAACGACCTGCACCTTCCGAACCTTCCGCGCGGCAAGTGCCACGCTGCCACGGCCGCCGCCGCGGCCAACGTCGAGGCCGTAGCGAAGGCCGTGGCGGCCGCATCGCGGCGGCACCTCCCGCCCACATGGTGCGGGAGGTGCATGTCCAGGGCGGCGGCCGAGAGGGAAGCACATGGGAGTAGGGGGGAAGCCAAGGAGGAGCGGTGGCAGATATGAGGATGCAGAGGGTGAGGAACGAGAGGGAGGAGGACAGACAATGATGCAATGGAGGAGGAGAACGATGAGCAGGACGAGGCAGGAGGACGAGGGAGGAAGGGAGGGATGGGAAGGGCTGAGAAAGACAGCGATGATAGTTTGAGGACGAGAGAAGGAAAAAGAGGACGAAGAGTAGGGAGATGGGGATCATGTGAAGATGAATGAGGAGGGTTAGGAGAAGCAGAAGGAGGAGGACCGAAGAGGAATGCGAGAAGGGTGATGGAAGAGAACAGGAGGAGGACTAGAAAGAAAATGAGGTGGTGGGGGTAGAGGGAGGACTAGGAGGGGAATCGGAGGATGAAGGAATGAGAGAGGGGATGAACGGCACGAACGCGCATTGCAGAACAGCAGAAGTGTGCCCCAAACCACAGAACCTGGCCGTCGACCAACCCAGTGTAAGCACAAGCCATGCCAAACTTCGTCAACAAATCGAGGCCAAGCCCAATGAAAACAATTGCCAAACGGACCACAACAGCAGAGACAGCCCAGCCCCAGCACAGTGTCGGAGACTGTGGTGGGAGCGGGGCCCCAAGTATTCGCCAGAAGGAGAGGCATCCGAAAAGAACGAGAGGCCAACACCCAGAAGACTACGCCTCTGCCACCTCAGCGGCCACCGCCATCGACGCGAGTAAGCAGCGCGGCTGAGCATTGGCAACAATCGAATGATCAAAACATACAGAAACAAACAACTTCGAAGATCCCCTCGGAATGTTTGGATCGGCGTTGGACCCTCCTTCCTATCGCGCGAAGCTCGCCAAGGGCCGCGCCCGAGGCGCCGCCGGGGCGACCCAGCGCAGATCCAAGCGATCTTGTTTTGCGAGACAAGGAAGGCGATCGGGTGTTCGTTGCGGTGGGGATGTACACGGGGGGGGAGGAACGGTGCACCTCTTGTGCACCTCTTGGGCCCGCGGAGGCAGCATAGGTGCCCTTCACAATCAGCATCCACAGTGAGGATGCAAGGCCCTAGGAAGACCTCGGACGTCAACATTGGCTCGGGATGAGACGAGGAAGCAGGAATGCGAGGGTGGCCTCGATGAACCAGTGCACCCTGACGATCTGTAGAGCCATCTTCCTGCACTCCTCGACACCCCCATGTGTACAGCCACCCCTTCGCCGTCTGCATCGAGTCTTCTGACCAAGTATAGTGGAGATGTGGAGATAAAGGGTAACAGGCTTTGAGCATCGAGGAATGTACAGGGGCGCGAGGCGAGATACAGAGCACGACAAAGCGCACTAGAATAATTGTTTTTGATTGTTTGTTTGTTTTCCCGCGCGGCAACACGCCCAGGTCTCGCAATCGAAAGGTTGCGTGGAACATCGCTGGAGCGGCCTGGTGAATCATACTCGGGCGGTGTAACTAATACCATAGAATGCAACATTGCATTATGTATAATGCAATATCCCCAAAGGGCTTGTGCTGCAGCAGAGTTCTTCCTCGCCGGTATCCGCACCTGGCTTCTGCGACCCTGCGCGGAACGTCGCAGAACTAAAGCGCGCCAGAACTGCGGTTCAGGAACACATGTATCATGATTAGAACTCGCTATGGTCAGATTGCCTCCCACGAAGGTGCTCTATCCAGGTGTAAACCCAAGCTATCCTGGGCCATCCTGGGCCATCATGGGTGATTCATGACTCCTGACTGTAATGTGTGGTTTCTTGAGGGGTGCGACCAGCGTCCCTCGGAAGGGAGTCGGCGCGACGCGATGTCACTTCGCCTTACCGCCGTCCACCTCACAACGCATCACGCCACATCGCGTGACATGACTCAGGCGGTCGTTCGTGCACCCTCATAGGTGTCCCCTGGCGTCTCAGATGCTTTAGCACTGCCAACACCTTCTCAGACACATTGTTTAAAGGCAAACCCCCCCGTGCTGAGGGTACTAAAACTGACCCCCCACCAGGACACACCTATGGGAGCACACAAAGGAACGCCCGAACATGATATAACCTCACGTCTGACTGGAGTAAAAAGCTCATACATGCATACATACAACCATCATGTGCGCATGCCTTCGTACATCCATCCGTCCATACAAAGCTCCATGTCCAGGCTCGCTGCTAGCTGTCTAGCTTCTCGGGCACCGCCATGCTATTATGTTCTGCATCGTTCGAAATTTAACGGATGTATTATTCATAGTCTGATAGATTGTATTATTTGGCATTCTATTATAATATGCTATAGTGTATTATGATATGATATACAGTGTACAGTATGGCATACGATGGTAGGTCATCGCATACTATGCCACATTACACTATGTCATTATAGTATGGTATACTCTAGCATAGCATAGCATCGCATCGCATAGCATATCATAACATAGCGTATCATATCGTATTATGATATCCCCGAAGGGGATCCGTCTCTCGGGCACAGCCAGGTTGTTCTGCGCCTGAAGCGTGCTCTGGTCGGACTCCCCCAGCAGGCTGCTCATCCTGAATTATATCGTATTGCGTTATACCATATCATATCATATTAATTTTATAGTATAGTATACCTTCTTGTATGCAGTGCATCTAATATAGTACATGTTGTATATTGGAGCGCGAGGGGCATAGGGCGAAGGCCACATGGAGATCTCACCTCCAGACCTAGGCGCCTACGCCTATGTACCTACACTCTGTAGAAGATGGCATCTAAAAAAAAAACAAAAACCAAGCATGCACAGAACCCTGTACCCTGCGTGTTCCCTTCAAAAAACTGTGTTATCACGCCTGTTGACGTCTAGGGGGCGTCTCACGCAAACCTTCCGCGTTGCGCCAATTGTCTCGGCGAGCCTTTCGCTTCCGCCGAACCGATGTTGCTTCCGCGAACCTTGTTACTGGAGGAACCTTGGCTCCAGATGGTTGTATTCTATGCTCTATATACTATATTGTATGCAACATGTTCTATATACTATAAATATATGATAATAAAATTTACTATAGCAATATATATATAATAAAGCATACTGTCATAAAATGTGATATCATATAATTTATGAGAATATAATATAATATGATATAATATGCTATAATATGATATAATATATAACACGTCTCTGCCAACCTCCCGCGTATTTTGCCACGCGGGCGTCACTGGCAAAGTTTACTGAAACCGTTTATCGGGGGGGGCCCTCAAACACGATACATGCTTACCCTCTGACCTAGATCCACGGGGGAACCTCCCAGGCCAGACAGCTTGCTCCCCCGAGCTCGGCATGTGTTTCCGGCGCATCTGGGGGCTGGGGGGGCTTTCGGGCCGCCAGGGGTTCCGTCTAGTAAGGACCTGCTGTAGAAGTGTTTGGCCTCCTTTGCATGTCAACCCATCAGATGGCGTCTCCTTCCGAACCCACCTCTTTCAGGTGCTAATATCCATGACCCCTTGGGGCTTGACCAAACATTATCGAAGCAAACGCACACTGGGACCTCCTGGGCTTCTATAAACCACCCGGGGGTTCTGTACTCCATCCTTACAGCCGACTCAAAGCTCACCCAGGCTCACAAAGCCTATGAGCTAGCCTGATCTCTCTATCTCTCTCTCTCTCTCTTGCTCTGTCTCTCTTGCTCTGTCTCTCTCTCTCTCTCTCTCCTTCTCTCTCTCTCTTTCCCTCTCTCTCTCTACACACACACCGCCTCTACTCTACACCTTCCGATGGCTGGCTGGCTGGCTGGCTGGCTGGCTGGCTGGCTGGCTGGCTGGCTATCTGCCTGCCTGCCTGCCTGCCTGCCTGCCTGCCTGCCTGCCTGCATATGGTTCTGCATCTGCTTCGCCTGTACAGGGAAGGATGCGATCGGTTGCCGCAACGCATGGTGGTCAACGTGCCACGGTCACCACGATTCCAGCAACGCAAGTCAAGTCACAACTCCAAAACATGCTAACCGTTACTAAACGCAGACTCATAATTTACAACACCTTGTCAATCTGTCTTGTACCTGGACTCTTGGACTTGACTTGAACTCGTCGTGCACGGCACCGTGCACGGCCAAACCGCAAACGAAGATCCAAGATATTCGGAGCTCGAGTCAAAGAGGATCTTAAATGTATAGGGTGGAATTCATTAGTGCACCTGTTTAGTGCAATAGTTTCGAAGTTTTGACTCAAAGGATCGTGGTTTGCGGGATCTTGGTTTGCGGTTCCGCCGTAGCGGGTCACGGTGGCGGTGGCCCGTGGCGGGCCCAACCAAAACCTCGGCGAAGCAGGTGCCTCGCCATCTTCATACTCGGCTTGGCAGCACCGCTTATACTATATGTTATCATTCTGTGATATTACATCATAGTATAGTTTACTGTGTTCTGTTGTTTTATGGTATAGTACAACATATCGGATTATATATTGTAAGCTTGCACTGCCGCTTGCTGCGTCTCATGCGGAAGCGGCTGCCGCAGCCGCGCCGCTCCCGCCAAGCTGTTAGGATGTATACTATAGGATGTGCTAGAATCTATAATATTACATGTAACATAGTACATGATATACTGTATAACATCTAACATAAAGTCCCCCGTGAACTTCTTTGGGGCCCCTTTTATCTCAGCCGGGGTTCGCCATGTGGGGTTTGGGGCTTCAAAACGAGTATGTACTCAAACAAAAGGTTGTTGATATTGTTGTTCGTCTTCGGCGAAACCTCACATGACGAAACCCCGCACTGGGGAGACCCTGACTTCTGCGCCGCTTGGGCCATCGACCCCGTCTTGCCCACGCCCGCCCCAGGGAGGAGCGCCCTCGTAAGAGTAGTATATAGAATTGGCTTTGAATTGATCTTGGGTTGGGTAAAACTTGTTCTTACCCAAAGTACGCCAATTCCACATGCTACTGTAAGGGCGCCGCCCTCGTAAGGATCAGGCGCGTTCCGTATCCAGCTCCGCCAGCCGCGACCGGCGCATCTGGATAGCCCGCACCGTGGCGAGCACCTGAGGCATTTCGGGGCGCTCTTCAGGGCGCTCCGCACGCATGCGCTCCAGCAGCGCGCAAAACTCGGGCAACACCAGCCCTTCATGCTGGTCGTCCCACAAGAGCTCCTTGAACGACGTCCCCAGCGAGAACACGTCGCTCGCGCGCGTGAGCGGCGGGCGCCCGCGGAGGCCCAGCGCCCACGCCTTCAGCTCGGGCGCCGCGTATTCCTCCCGGTACGGGGTGCCCAGGTCAGCGTTCTCGCGCTCGCCGTGCCGGAGCGTCGCCTTCAGTCATTCAGCTCAACACGAGGAAGTTGTCCAACTTGACGTGGTTGCGCGTGAAGCCCAGCCGCTCGTGCAGGAACTCCAGCGCCGTGGCCATCTGCTCGATCGCGGAGCCGCCGTGGCGCAGCACCCACTCGCGGCGTGCGAGCCTCTGCCTCTGCCTGACCCAGTCCGCGGTCTCCGTGCTTGGAGGATAGGAGAGGACTTCTGGCTCGCTCTCCGCTCGGAACTCGCTGCCCGCCTGCGTCGCTCTTACTTCAAAAAATTATCCTGGCGAAGGACCCAACCGTATGCAGTTGTGGGTACCGCAATTGTGAAAATCTTCTTCGGTGAAACTCCCTATGGGGCCACGAAGCGCTGCACTGGGTGGATCGCGCCTGCCACTCCTCCTCGCTATCACACCACATCCACCGTCCGAGGAACACCTTTTACTCAGGGATGGACGAACCCCCTTTAGTGAAACGTGGCTTAGTGAAAACGACCTCGTGCCAAAACCTGGCGGACGTAAGCCTGGAAAATGGCGTCCGCGGCGCCCCCTCGAGAACCTAAAACGGACAACTAATGGACGTGTCAGGGTGGGGGTTCTGTCCACCCTCGATTTACGCTTTTCCACCCTCCCCTCCTGTGTCAGCATCCTCCCATTCTTACCGTCGCCTTCGCCGTCGTCGCCTCTGTCCAGCTCATCAGCCTTGCACCGCCTACTCTCCCTGCTCCTCCTCCTCCTCCTCCTCCTCCTCATCCTCCTTCCCCGCACCTCCTTACACAGTGTGTGCCTCTCTCCCCAACTCTCGTCCTTCATCACTCTCTTCCTCCTCCTCCTCCTCCTCCTCCTTTCCCACTCGCCTCTTCCTTTCCCACTCTCGTCCTCCTCCCTGGAGGAGGAGGAGGAGGACGAGGACGAGGAGGAGGAGGAGGAGGAGGAGGAGGAGGAGGAGATGGAGGTTGTGGAGGAGGAGAGGAGGAGGAGGAGGAGGAGGAGGAGGGAGGAGGAGGAGGAGGAGGAGGAGGAGGAGGACGGGGAAGGGGAGGAGGGGGAGGAGGGGCGGAGGAGGGGGAGGAGGGGAGGAGGGGAGGAGGAGGGGAGGAGGAGGAGGAGGAGGGAGGAGGAGGGGGAGGAGGAGGATGAAGAGGAGGAGGAGGACCCCAGCCCTGGCCTGTCCCCCTCCCCAACTGCGCTTTACCACCCCGCTCCCCTTTTGGTTGCCCCCGCCGCGCGCAGACCCTCCCCGCGGGAGGCCCCGTCGTCCAAGGAGCCGCTGCCGACGCCCTGCATGCGCCCGTTGCTGTCTGGGAGGCGCTCCAGAAACTCCCAGAGCTCCTCACTCGGGACTCTTGGCGCCGCGCACAAGGGGGTGGAGGGAGGGGGGAAGGCTTCTTAGAAGCAGGCTGCTTCCTAGAAGGCGCCGGCCTTACATCTATAGATAAGGCCCGCGTCTTCTAAGAAGCAGGCGTGCTTCTAAGAAGCCCTCCCCCCCACCCCCCTCTACGCGCGGTTGGGGCTCGGAAGGACGGAGACACACTCAGGGAACGAAGAATGGCACAAACATAAAAGCTCGGAGGTCCGCGCGGATTTTCTCGGATAGGCGCTGGACCCCCCTCCGTGGCGCGCGGAGCGCGCCAGGGGCGGCGCCGGAGGCGCTGCTGGGGGGCCCCAGCGCCGATCCACGGAATCCGCGCGGACAAACAACCTTCCCGACCCAGCACCCCGAACCTGGCCACCCCCCCTCCTGCTGGCCGTGACCAGAGCAGGGCCACCTCAGACCCTCGTGGCTCCCAAATGACATGACTTGCGACCCGAGCGCAGCTCAGAAAAGCACCCCAAGACGCCGCAGCTCCCCTGCCTCGGGGGCGGCCAAGAAGGTGGCGTCCAAGAGGGTGGGGCGAAAATCATGGCCGTCGGCATGTGCGCGGCCCAGGGGGGGGCTGGGGACGTATTGAAATAAGAAGAGGCGCCGTGAATTATGTGGAAATGTCATGGCCCCCGCCATGTTATCCACCCCCCCTAGTCATCACCCCCCTCTTGGCTGGCCCCGACTGCCTCGCCAAGACCCGCCCCGCAATCCGCCCTGGGACCCCTCCCAGGGTCCATACCCTGCACCGCTTTCCGAAGCGGACTCAGCCGTGGTGGCGACAAGTCACCGGTAGGCCCAGATACAGTGGAGGCCAGTCCACAAGAAACCTTCCACAAGAAACCCAACCCTGAGACCCCAGGACGTCCATTGATTTTTGGTGTGGGAACGTGGCGCTCTCCATCGCAAAACCATCGAAACCCGAGAAACCCAGGGCACCCTGAGGGCAAGCAGGATGTTTCTTGGCTTGGGTACCCACTGTTCGGACGAACGGCGCCGGGGGGGGGACCTGGGCCTAGGAAAGGTAGAGGACGACAGACGAGGACGACACGGTAGGGCCCAGGGCCTACGCCAGATGAGGACGACAAAGTTCGGAGGTCGGCGTGGACTTCTCGGATCCGCGGTGGACCCGCCCGAGCCTCCGAACAGGCATGTCTGTGCAGCTCCTTTCTTCGAAGAGACGAGGGTCGTCGCGATCTCGACTGGCCCTCCTCCACGAGGACGCGACCCTGCCGCCCAAAGTTTTCCTGGAGATCAGCCCAACGGGAAAAGCATCGACTGGCAATCGGCGATGTATCGTCGATAGATCGGCGACAAGGCCCCCAGTCTTAGGTCGGGCGTGTCCAACTACAGGCGGATGTTGGACGAAAAACTAAACATACATATATATATATATATATATATATATATACACATATACATATATGTATTACCCTGGCGACGTACCCAACCCCTGCGCAATGCGGGGCATGAGTAGCCTGGGCGACTTCATAAAAAGGTGGTGATGGCAAGACATGGACGTATGTCAGAGTGAAGGGACTGAACCGAACGGTCATTCACTGTCCCTGGGTGTGTGGCTGAAGTGAAATTCCGCGATGCGGATTCTCGTTGTTTCTGTTGTTGTTGCTTGTTGATTGTTGTTTGTTGTTGTTTGTTGTTGTCGTCGTCCCACCCGCGACCCGCCCCGCGACCCACCCGCGACCCACCCCGCAACCCACCCGCGACCCACCCGCGACCCACCTCGCGACCCACCCGCGACCCACCCTGCGACCCACCCACGACCCACCCGCGACCCACCCGCGACCCACCCCGCGACCCGCCCGCGACTCACCCCGCGACCCGCCTCGCGACCCATCCGCGAGACCCACCCGCGACCCCCCCGCGACCCATCCCGCGACCCACCCGCGACCCACCCGCGACCCAACCGCGACACACCGCGACCCACCCGCGACCCACCCGCGACCCACCCCGCGACCTACCCAAAATGTTCGGCGCCTGCGGCGGGCTTCGTTTGCATTCGCTCCAAGTGGAGAACCTGCGTCGCAAACCGCGTGTTTTTGAATTCCATCCAGGTGGAGGTGGAGAGCCCGCGACCCACCCGCGACCCACCTGCGACCCAATCCGCGACCCACCACCGACATGGTTTTAACATAAAATCGGCGCCTGCGGCGGACTCGTTGTATAGCTTGAAAATGTTGCGCCTGCGGCGGGCTTCTTCAGAGCCTCGCAGACTGCAGACGTCCCCGCCGCCCCCTCACTCTTATCCGCAACTGCGGGGTGCTACGCATTTCTGCGGCCAGCATTTGGGAGGTCCCGTGTGCGTCCGCCTCGGGGCCCCACTATGCTGGTCCCCCTAGCAGGCTTCGAAAGTGGTGACTGTTTCACAGATCGCAGCCCCCCAGGGATGGCGAGGTCTGATTTGAATCTGCGTAGCGCGCCACTATGCTGGACCCCCCCCCAGCAGCCCTCGAAAATGGCGACACGTTCACAGATCGCAGCCCTCCAGGTGTGGCGAGGTCTCATTTGAATCTGCGTAGGGCGCCACTGTGCTGGACCCCCCAGCAGCCCTCGAAAATGGCGACACTTTCACAGATCGCAGCCCCCCAGGTGTGGCGAGGTCTGGTTTGAATCTGCGTAGTGCGCCGTGCTGGACCCCCCAGCAGCCCTCGAAAATGGCGACACGTTCACAGATCGCAGCCCCCCAGGTGTGGCGAGGTCTCATTTGAATCTGCGTAGGGCGCCACTGTGCTGGACCCCCCAAGCAGCCCTCGAGAGTGGCGAAAGTTGCACAGCACAGACAGCAGCCCCCCAGGGATGGCGAGGTCGCATTTGAAGATGCCTAGCAGTTCACTGTGCTGGACCCCGCAGCAGGTGTCGAAAGTGGCGACACTTTCACAGATCACAGCCCCCCAGGGGTGGCGGGGTCTCATTTGAATCTGAGTAGGACGTCACTGTGCTGGACCCCCCAACAGCCCTCGGAAGTGGCGACACTTTCACAGATCGCAGCCCCCCAGTCATGGCGAGGTCTAATTTGAATCTGCGTAGGACGTCACTGTGCTGGACACCCCAGCAGCCCTGGAAAGTGGGGACAGTTTCGCAGATCGCAGCCCCCTGCAAACCAGACAGGAGGAGGCAGGAGGGAGGCGGGAAGGAGAGAAGGAAGGACAGAGACCAAGGTACACTATTCAAAACGAGTACCCAATCAAGGAGGGTTGGGAATAAAACGCAATCCAAAGATGCGCAAGAATAGTCAAACAAATAGTCCCCCGACTATGTTTGACTACATTTGAATGTTCCTCCTGTAGATGGACACGCCCCACTTAAGACCAGCAGTCGGCGATACATCGCCGATAGATCGGCGACAAGGCCCCCGGCCGCGACAGCCGCAAAGGCCAGGGAGGAGCGGGCCATCGGGCCTCCATCGGCGATGCGTGGGCGATTGGGTGTCGATGCGTTGCCTTAGGTCGGGCCTGTCCCCCTTCAGGCGGATTTTGGGCGAAGAAGTACAAATACTTACAAAAAGCTCAAACAAATAATAATAGAAACAACAACAAGAAAACTCAAAAAAACGTACCACGACTATTTTCTACAATTTTTGAATATCCCTCCTGTAGAGGGACAGGCCCGACTTACAACTAGCAGTCGGCGATGCATCGCCGATAGATCGGCGACAAGGCCCCCGGCCGCGACAGCCGCAAACGCCAGGGCGGAGCGGGCCATCGGGCCTGGATCGGCGATGGGCGGGCGCTCGGGTGTCGATGCGCTGCCCCTCGCCGAGGCGCAGCCCCGCTGGAAAGCATCCCGAGGCCGCGAGCAGCCAAGAACCCCACGAGCACGCGCGACGATTTCGAGCCTCGGGGCCTCGAGACGCTAGACTTCACTAGGAGAGAAAGCCACATAAACATAAATGTGTTGCGCTACGCGCGGATGTCTTGGATCCGCGCCAGGGGCGGCGCCGGAGGCGCCGATGGGGGGCCCAGGCGCGGATCCAAGAAATCCAGCGCGGAGCGCCAAAAATTTATGGTTATGGCGTTTTTCTTTCTTCGAAACTGGCGGAGACCCCGCGCGGAACGAATCCGTGCGACCGCGCAGGAGCCGCTGTCGGTCTTTGTACCCATTCTGTCCGTACCCAGCGGCGCGTTTTATTTTCCGCGATAATGGGCATGTTCGGGGGGGTGGGAGGGGCCAAGGGGGGGGGGGTATAATGTAACGCCTCTCCCCCGCCGTGTACACGACGGCAGTGCCCGGAGCGCACTGGAGGGGGGGAGAGGGGCGTTACGTTACAGGGGAGGAGGGAGGGGGGGGGGCCGGGGGCTGTAATAGCCATTGTGCCCCAAGCAATACAGAAACACGCTCGATCCGTGCGACCGCGAAGATCCACCGGATCGCGCCCGGGGATCCAGACCGCGAGGGCGCGGGCACGGACGTGTTCGCCGCTCGTGGCTCAAAAGCCGGTGACACTGCCAAACCACTGCAGGGCCCGCTTCCCGTAGGTTGGTAGGTCGGTGCATCTGATAAATATAATTACGTACACACACATATATATATATACGTGTGTGTGTGTATGTGCATCGCCAAAGTATTTTCAAAATATTGGAAAAAACGCCCCCGTAGTTTTCTTGACTATGTTTGAACATTCCGCCTGTACTTAGAGGGCCAGGCCCGACTTGACGCTTCCCACAGGACCCGTTGTTTGCTGCACGGCGAGGCTCTGCCGCCCGAGTGTCACTGCACCAGCCTTGCAGACGTGCTGCAGCGGATTTCTGCGTGGATTTCTGCACGGACTTCTGGCCGGAACGGCGAGCGAACCACGCAATGAACTTCGCGTGGATTCTTGTTGGTCTTCATCCCTGGCCAACAACATGCGCACGAAATCCACCTCGAAATCCGGAACGAAATTCTCCAGGACACACCGGGCCCACCCTATCGTTTGCCGAACGAAGTCCGCTCTGCGATGTTGGCGCCATGACAAGGGGAGAAACATCGACTAGCAATCGGCGTTACATCGCCGATAGATCTGCGACAAGGCCCCCAGTCGCGACAGCCGCAGATGCCAGGGCGGAGCGGGCCAACGGGCCCCCATCGGCGATGCGCGGCCTTTGGGTGTCGATGCCCCCCAGGCCCCTGGCGGCCGTTCGGGACGACGATCAGATCATCTGGGCGCACCCCCAGAACTCAAAGTGCCCAAGGACACACAAATAAATACACACACACAAATAACAGGATCCCCCATATTTTCCTGTATCGTCAGGGCTTTTGTCTTCCCCCCCACTTCCCACATTTTCCCATATGTTCTGGGAAATCGACGATTAATTGTGTCTGTGTGCTTTCAGGGGGGCGGAAGACCCGGGTACAGGGGTCTCGGAAATCCCCGAGGAGGTCGTCAACAAAAATGATGAGGCCGAGCCTGCATTTTGACGAGGCCTCCCGCTGCAGACATCCCACGAAACTCCCACTCGTCAAAATCCGAATCGCGGTCGTCAAAAAACCATGGCGAACCCGAGTCCTGGCAAACCCGGGTCTTACGCTCCCCCGGATGTGGCGTAAGCCTGAAGAATAAATACACACAAATAACAGGTTCCGCAACATTTTCTTATATTTTCTGGGTTTTCGTCTTCCCCCCACTTCCCACATTTTCCCATATGTTCTGGGACATCGACGATTCATTGTGCCTGTGTGTTTTTTTCCCCTCCTGAAGAACGCGCTCGCCGAGGCGCAGCCGCTGGAACTCCGCCCTGCCGTGCACACGGGGAGCGTGGAAAGGGGCCGCCGGCGGGGCCGCGGTGTGCGCGCGAGAGGGCGCTCCTGGGGGCCCACCTCGCCGCGCAGGGCGCCGTGGTAGTGCCGCACCAGGGGCCCCACCGCCTCCGCGGGCTCGTCGACGAGCTCGAGGCGGAGGTAGCCTCAGGTCGGGCGCGTCCCCCTTAAGGGCGGACCTTGGGCGAGGAGTCCAAACTACACAAGCAATATCCAAAACGTATTCAAACATACTAGAACAAAATCGCGCCCGGCGACATGCCAAAAGCCAATACTATTCCGAATGCTATATGTGTATGTGTATGTATGTATATAATGAGAGAGAGGTTCTTCTTGAGCAGGGACCGACCGTCCCGGTATTCCTTTAGGCCTACCACGAAATGTTCTCAGAGCCTCAGAGATGTTCCAAGAACAAGAAAGAAGTGTCCTTAGAACCCACACCCGATGCGTTGAAACAAGGGAGCCCCAGCCAGAAATGTCCTGAGAACACGTCGTGGAAACCACACAAGATTCTCAGCACGTTCTTCGGTGGGCCTGTAGGCGAGCCAGGACGCCTCGCTGCTGCTTGACTTTCGAGGGGCGAGGCGGGGCGCTGTCCGTCCCCCCCGCGTCTCCTGCGAAGACAATAAGCCAGGAGGAGGAGGAGGAGGAGGAGGAGGAGGAGCAGCAGCAGGAGGAGGAGGAGGAGGAGGAGGAGGAGGACTGGAACAATGAGCCAGGACGGGGATCCATCGGGAATCTCTGGGATCCGGCGGCTCTGGAGGATGCCTCGGGCGTCGCGGCCTTCTCAGAGCGTTCTGGAACGCTCTGGAACGGATTTGGTCCTCGTCCGAAGCCCGTCCGACCTCCCTCGTAGTGAGAAAAATCACGACGGAAGATATTCTGCAATTTTCAGCCTTCGGGGGCCTGTGCTGGACCCTAGGGACCGTCAACAAATACACTCAGCATGAACATCGGGGTCCAACACTTCAGGGGTCCGCGTGGTGAACAAATGCACGTCGGCATCTGGGCATAAGCGTTCATAGCCTATGACGAAACCAAGACCCAGACAACACCGGACCGGGTTACTACATGGGGGGTCTCTTAGATCCGACAATTCCGGAAGATGTATCGGACGCCGCGGCCGTTCCACAGCGCTCAAGAACGCTCTGAGAACATTCAGGAACGCTCTGGGGCGATGTATCCTGGTCCCGGTTTCGCCCGATAACCACCGCCTGATCGATCTTCGGGGACCTCGGCAGGCGGTGGATGGTGGATATGGGGTGGGCCAACAATATCCATGCTCTGGAGGGGGGAAGAGAGAGGGGGAAGGCGGCGCTCCCTTGCCACGGGCATACAGTGGGTGCAAATCCACAAGAAACCTTCCACAAGAATCCCAACCCTGAGACCCCAGGACGTCCATTGGGTTTTGCTGTGGGAACGTCACGCTCTCCATCGCAAAACAATTCGAAGCACAAGAAACCCAGGGCACCCTGGAGGCAAGCAGGGTGTCTCTTAGCATGAGCCCCCAATGTACCTCTCTGGCCTGGGTGGGGCAAGGATCCGCGCCGGTGGCCGGGCCTCCACACTAACTCGGGATCGGCGTCGCTGGCACAGCAGCCTTGCCCCGATCGGCATCGCCCCTCGGCCTCCTCGCCATCGTCCTCGTGGTTCCCTTCATCCCCCTCCCAACCTCTTCCTGCTCCTGCCCCTCCTGCACCTCCTGCTCCTCCTGCTCCTCCTCCTCCTCCTCCTTCTCCTCCTCCTCCACCTCTTCCTCCTCCTCCTCCTCCTCCTCCTCCTCCTCTTCCTCCTCCTCCTCCTCCTCCTCCCCCTTCTCCCACCAAGAGGGCCGCAAGACGGCCCAAGAGAGCTCCAGGACTGCTCAAGATGGCCCAAAGACGGCCCTGAGAGACCCACTAGACCGCCTCACGAAAGCGTAACACAGCACCAAGACGACCGAAATGAGCACAATGAGAACCCGTTAGACATTGAACACGAAAAGAGGACCATGTGACGGCCACAATCTTCCGTCTCCTCCTTCTCACACGTTATATCCTCCTGTGCGCCCCCCGAGCAGTCGCCGCGAAGGGTGCTGAGCTGGCATGGTGGCGGATCGTGTCGCAGGCAGCTGGGTATCTCTCTCGTTCTCTCCCTCTCCTTCTCGCCATCTTGATATCCCTCTCTCCTCGTTGTCTCGTTCTCTCGTTCTCTACGAGTTGCTCTCTCGATCCCTGTGTGTCTGTGTGTAGATGTGCGCGCTTATATCGAATTGATTAATTCGTTGTTTGTTTGGTGTGTTCTCTCTACACATATTTATAGATATGTACACATATGACATGTTATACCCCTCTCTGCTCCCTCCCCCTCCCTCGATACATGCCTCCCGCTCTCGCTCTCTCTCTCTCTCTTTCTCCCGCTCTCTCTTTCTCTCTTTCTCTCGGTATCACTCTCTATCTCTCTACATATATGTATATGTGTGCATATGCGTATACATCGCTGTGTATGCCTGTATACGGATACACCTCTATTCAAATGTGTGTATCCGCCACGGTGCCCCGAAGCACGAGTTGGAGTGTCCTCGAGTCCCTGCGAACTCTCTGTTCCCCGCGGCCCCATCGCCCGGAGTTCTGGGCGGGGCACTCCTGGGGGGTCCCCGCGTGACCCTTCCAGAGGCCAAGAGTGCGCTGCTCGGGACATGCACGTCCGACATGGCCCAACATGGCCCCGGGGACAGTCCTGAGTCCTGGAGCCCTCTTGGGTACTTCCTGGGCGGTCCTGGAAGCTCTCGAAGGCCGCCCAAGATGCCCAAATCGTCATAACATGTTGGTTTTCGCATTGCGACTTCTTTGGTCTTCAAAGCGTCCAATGACGGCCCAAGAGGCGCCTAAGATCGCCCAAAAACGGCCTGAGAGCCCCCAAGAGGGGCCCTAGGGCCCCCAAAGACAGACCAAGGAGGGGAAACACAAACTGACAGTTTGAGCCCTCCGCACCAAGATGAACCAACAATCCCCCCAGGTGCCTCCGAGCTGCCCTCCGAAGGCCTCAAGAGGCCCCCCGAAAGGCCCCGAACGGCCCAAATCAGGCCCGCAAGAGGCCACCAACATGCCTCCACGACGCCCTCAAAACACCGCCTCCGACAAGCGTCCAAGAAGTCTCTCATTAGGTCCTCACAAACATCCAAGGCGCACCTGACCGACAAACCAGGCACGGTGGCGGAATGTGCCGAAGCCCACTGGAGATCCGCCGCACCCTGTTGGCTTGCCAGAGGGGTGCTCGGCGTGCTGTATGTTCTGTAAGATGTTTGGTTGTTTGTTTAACTTCCCCTTGGGCTTCGGCTGCCCACGATGGCCTCCCAGACGGCCAAGATGGCTCCCAAGTTCGCCCAAGATGATCTAAGGTGGCCCCCTAGACGGCCTACGGGGGTCAAAGATGCCTCCAAGTCCGCCCAAGAAGCCTCACAGACGGCCAAGACGGCCCAAGAGTCTCCCAAGAGGCCATGAAGACGCCTCTAAATGCCTCCAAGAGGTCCTCCAGGAGGTCCCGAAGAGGCCAAAATCATTGATTGCCCTTAGGTGTTGTCCGAAGGGTTTTGGCATGTCGTTCTTATCGGCCTTCCGACGGCACAAGGCTGCCCAAGAGGCCCCCAAGACGGCCCCAAAACGGCCCAAGGGACCTCCAAGACGCCCAAGATGATCTTCAAGACGGTCCGAAAGCGCCCCAACAGGGCCCCAAAGAGGGGGCAGAGAGGCATCCAAGACTGTTTCCAACGGCGTCAGACGGGCCAGAAACGCTTTAGGACCGCCAAAGAGGCCCCAACGAAGTCCCCAAAGGCCCCCAAGAGGACAAAGGAAGCTCCCAAGAGCACTCCAAAAGTCTCCCAGGAAGCTCCCGGGAGGCCACGAGGCTGTCCCAAGAGGCTCCCAAGAGGCTTCCTCCTCCTCCTCCTCCTCCTCCACCTGTTCATCCTCCTCCTCCTCTCTATTTTTCTTCCCTCTGCTCCGGTTCTTCTCCTTTCTCCCCCGCGTGTTCCCCGAAGGGTTTCCACTACGGTTGGGGCAACTCATGGCCCGATAACTTTGCACAGCTCTGGCCACCGTGGCAGTGATTCCCAAAAGACCGGGGGCGGCGGTGAGTCCCCCTAGGCCCTAGGCGACTCCGATATGTTCACCAGTAGCCGTAAGATGTTACACCCTGGGCGTGTAAGCTATGTGGTGCACGCTGTGCGGTGCAAGCTCTGCGAGATGCGAGCAAGGTGGTGCACCATGAGCTTGGTGCTGGAGATGTGGTGCATGTACTGTGGTGTTAGTTATGTGCGGTGCTACCTGCGTGGTGCACGTTATTGAAGGGGCCCCAGGACACACAAATAAATACACACAAATAAAAAGATTCCCCATCTGTTCCAATATTTTCTTGGTTTCTGTCTTCCCCCCCACTTCCCATATTTTCTCATATTTTCTGGGGAATCGAGGATTAATTGTGTCTGTGTTTTTTCCTCTCCTGAGTTATGTGTCATACGCTGTGGGAAAGCTGCGTGGTACCATGCATGCGGTGCAGGCTGCGAGGTGTATCGGAGAAGAGCAACGCCATCAACATACACTCTCGGCGCTCCGCGCGCACTTCTTGGAGCTGTGCCGCGCCAGGGGCGGCGCCGGAGGCGCCGCCGGGGAGGGCCCAGCGCGGACCCAAGAAATCCGAGCGGAGCGCCGCAAGTTTATGCTTATGGCGTTTTTTCTTATTCGAGTGTAGACAGAGTGGTGCCAGCTATGTTTAGGTCGGGCATGTCCGCATACATGGCGATGTTGGACGAAATATCAAAACATAGTTTAAAAGATACCTAAACTTGCAGAATAAATGCTCAAACAATCGTCCCCAGACTATTTTTTGGAGACTGCTTCCGAATATTCCCACTGAAGAGGGACAAGCCCGACCTGAAGCTACGTTTGGGTCGGGCGAAAGGGGGGGATTAGCAAAGGGGGGGTTTGGGAATCGGCTCACGCAGCTGATTTTCCCTGCGCCTCCCGGCGCCGGAGGCGGCCGTGTATCGAGGAATGGGCCCCTCGGTGAGGCCGAATCCAGCTGCACGCAGCAAATTTCGTAACCCCCCCTTTCCCAATCCCCCCCCTTCGTCCGGTCCGATACGTGATGCAGGCAATGCCGTGCAAGCCCCTCATGGGGTGCCACGGTCGCCCAGCAGGGCGGAGAGCCTCTCGACACACCCAGCCAGCGCAGGGGGCGCCCCCCCGAGGCGCCCGCGGCCGCCCACCGGGCGAAATCCCGCCGCACCAGGCCAGCGCAGGGGGCGCCGAGGAGGAGGAGGAGGAGGAGGAGCAGGAGGAGGAGGACGAGGAGGAGGAGGACAAGGAGGAGGAGAAGGGGGAGGAGGAGGAGGACGAGGAGAAGCAGGAGGAGGAGGACGAGGAGGAGGAGGAGGAGGAGAAGCCTGAGGAGGAGGAGGAGGAGGAGGAGGAGGAGGAGAAGACGGCCAAAACCACGCCGCTCCAAAGTTTAGGAGCAGCATCGGATCCCTGGGTCGAAGGTCCGAGGACCCCCCCCTGGCGAAACCCCGTCCACACCAGTCCAGCGAACTCCCGCCACCAGGCGAATCGCCGCCACGCCCATGCAGTTTCTTGCAGGCAGAAGCTTCCATCTCATACAGTCGGGGAGTTGACCTAAGGAACGAAAAATAAGGAACGAGGCCCCTTTTTCCCATATATTAAACGTCGATGTTCCATGGAAAACCTCAGGAAAACCCAAGGAGCACTGTAAAGCAACTAAGGAACACGGAGCCCCTTCCCAACAAAAAGGGTTCCTTCTTCAGGGCCCCGACTGTACATTTGTGAATCTGCATCCGCACGTGTGGCCCACACTGCCAGTTTCCAACATCCACAGGTCGCATACCATCAGCCTTCGCATCCCACGATCGCCCCATGCCCGCCCCCATCCGAATCGCCCTCCTCACGGCCCTCAGCACAAGCCTCGAACCATCCCCACTCCGCCCCAGCAGAAGAAGAGGCGGCGCCTACGCCAGCCGCGGCGAGATGCGCGAGGTCCTTGGGATCCCAGAAGAGTGCGGATGCAGCCACCAGCGCGTACAGTAGACGCATGCGGCGGGTTCGTGTCGTGCCGACTTCGGCGTTGGTTCCTGACACCGCTGGGATCACTCAGCCTCCAACGATCGGCCGTCTCCGAAACGTCAGATCGCTCAGCGTCAACCGATTCTGGGTCGCCGGCGGCGTTCCACATTGAACGCAGGGCGGAGGGGTCGCCGCGGGTCGACACGACGCGAACCTACTGCAAGAAGAACCCTGGCTGTCAGATATCCTGGGGCACACTCTTCGTCGTATGCTGTTCCCATCGTACTTAAGGACCACATCCCGGACATAAACTCGAGCACCCGGGAAAGTGTCGAAACAGTGTCGGACGAGTGTCTCCCAGGACCCAACACGTGAAAACAATTGAGTTTCGGTACTTTTTTGGTGCTCGAAATTCTGTCTGGCGATCAAGGCTAAAGCAGGTTGGAACATCATAATCTTCGTCGATTGCTGGAGGTCCCGCGGTGCGCAAGAACTGCTGTGGGACCCCAAGGCCACCGAGGGACGAGAGCCTTCGGTGGGGCACCGGCTGGCAGGGCGAGCCTTAGACCCCCCCCCATGGACCGAAAGGGAGGGGAGGTGAGGGGCAGCGTCAGGGGGGGGGGACTGGCATAGGGGGGGATGCATCGACCTGGAATTGGCGATACTTCGCCGATGGATCGGCGATAGGCCTCCGATAGTGAATCCGCACCCTCCTGGGCAGGTTGGGGTCATCGGGGCCCTATCGGCGATCAATGGGCGATTGGGGGTCGATGCATCCCCCCCTATGCCTATCTCCGGTGCCCCCGAGGAGGAGTGGGAGAGGGGTGGGGGAGGGCCAGGCTCGAGCTACGCGGTCTTGTTCGTGTTCGTTCCGTCTTCGTGTTCCCTCGCTCCGTCGTCGTTCCACCCCTGCTGCATAGCACGACATCAACACTAGAACGGTCCACAGGATCGCCAACACACCGTTTAGCTTAGCTCGGGCCCTGCAGGAGGGTGATGCCTGTGTTCTCGCTTGCTTCCTTGAGGGCAATGCGGAATGCGGAACCGTATTCGAGCATGACTTCCCAAACGAAAAAGTTGGACACGTATATTAAAAAGACGGCACAAGTTGTGCCGCACAACGCCCTGGCATCCCAAAATCGACGGCAGAGTCGGAGTATGTGGGGAAGTCATGGTGCTCTGGCGCCTGCTTGGCGGGATGGCGACGTCGGCAAAAAGTTGGCCCGCCCTCTGATTCCCGACGACTGCTTGTCCAGACGGGTTTCGACTGCCACTTCCCCCCGTGCAATGTGACGTAATGTGGGACGCTCGGAAAAAAGTGTGTCAGGGAGTCACGGGGTGGTCGTCCAGGGGTGGTCCTGGGATGCAATTTTCCATTCGGAGCTTTCCCCCCCTTTCCCTGCAACCATCTGGGGCTTTCCAAGCTCGCCATCCCGAGGAGACTCGACCCAGGGGGGGGGGGGGGGGAACACGCGGAGGAGACGAATCGAACGGGGAAGATCTTCCCTGCGATCCCTTCTCCCCCAAGGGAAGGGGGGGGAGTAACCTGGAAGGGGGTCCCGGGGGTGGGGGGGGGGAGACCCTGCCTCCTCCCTGAAGTGACTCGGGCGAGCTCGCAGCCATCTGAGACCGCAAGAACCCTCTCGGGACCAATCGCGGCCAACTTCGGCACTCCTGGGGATCTCGCGGGCCGTCGCGAGAGGCTGGGGGGCAGGCCTGAGGGGCCCAAATCCTGCGAATTCCTGTGGTTTCGCTGGGTGGTTTTCACATGATCGCCACTGCAGGAACCAAGCAAGAGCGTGCAACACAGTCGAAGAAGCCCCACAGACTGACCCAAGACGGCACCAAGACGCCTCAAACAGCATCCAACAATCCCAAGAGACCCACAAGAAATCCCGAGAGACGGCAAGAGGCCCCAGGTGGGCCACAGAGGCCACAGAGCACCCAGCTCTATCCAGATAGCCCCTTGGCCTCTTGAGCACGACATAGGTGCAATGGCGGGATATGCCGAAGACCGATCGTTGTTCGCACTCGCATCGCAGCCGCACGCCACAAACCCCTGGCCCTCATCGCCCTTCCGCACATTGCGCCCACGCTGTTCACCTCTCGGGGTCGGCGGAACTGGCCGTGAGGTCTCTTCATGATCATGCGTCCACCCCGGACTACCCAAAATGTACTTGGCGGTATCTCCGCGTACCCGCAAAATCACTGCTCCATGGCTCATTGCCAACTGGTAAGGTCTGGTCAGATCAATCAACCACCCCCCCGGCTACCCACTCTTCGTGGATGCAGAATCACTGCTCCATGGCTCACTCCCAACTGGTTCTCCGACTGTTTCGTCCAGAATCGTTCTCCGACGGTTCTGGGGCCCGGCGATGGCCCCCTGGCTGCCGAAAAAGACCAAAAAGCCTCCCGCTGCGCTTTCAGTCACGAGGGAGAGGAGGTGGGGGCACGCCCTCCCGCGGGAACTCCGCAGACTCCTCCCCTCCAGCAGAGAGCAGTGCCTGCCCCTTTGCAGGTACTTGCAGCCTGGCCCCTGGCTTCGGCAGTGGCGGCACAGCGCAGGTCATTTGCCGCAGACTGCGCCGCGGCGTTGAAGACGGTGTTGCGGCAGCCCATGTCCGCCAGCACGGCGTGGTCCTGCTGCACCGGGAGGCTCGCCGGCCGAGGGCGTGCATCCGACCCCGCGACCGTGGGCGCCGCGCGCGATCGGCGGCGCGCGCACGAGGGGGTGGTTGCGAGGGGGGCGACCTCTCAAGAGGCCTCCCGGGGGGGGGGACTGCCTAGAAGGCATGGGGAGGACCAGGAGGAGGAGGAGGAGGAGGAGGAGGAGGAGGAGGAGGAGGAGGAAGAGGAGGAGGAGGAGGAGGAGGGGGGGCCTCCCAGGAGCCGTCCCGCCTTCTTAGGAGAGCCCCACTGGCCAGCTCAGAAGGGCCCCGATTTCCTCAAGACGCGCCCAGCCTTCTTAAAGACCACCTCGCTCGCCTTCGGTCGGGCATGTCCCCCTACAGGGGGATTTTGGACAAAAAAATAACAAAGACCCCCAAATAATCAAAAATGCTAAAACAAATCGTCCCCTGACTATTTCTTGACTATTCTTGAATATTCCCCCTGTAGAGGGATAGGCCCGACTTAACCCTTGCCTCACCCTTGTGCGCCCCGCCCACCTGCGTCGCTGACATGCTCGCAGCCAGCGGACTGCTTGGCAAATGCCCTGGCCCCGGGAGGGGCCCCTCTCAGCCAACAAACTCAGCGCGCGCTCCGTGCTGGAGAATCGGATGGCGCAGAAGAGGGGGCAGGTGGAGGAAAAAAAGAGAGAGGACGAGGGCAGGGAGGAGGAGGAGGGAGAACGAGTAGGAGGAGGAGGAGGAGGAGGAGGAGGAGGAGGAGGAGGAGGAGGAGGAGGAGGGGGAGGAGGGGGAGGAGCAGGAGGAGGAGGACGAGGAAGAGGAGGAAGAGGAGACGGAGCCGAACGCATGTGATGGCAGAGCGAATATTGAGGAGCGAGGATGGAGGAGGGAGGGGAGGAGGAAGGCGGAGGAGGAGAAGGAAAGGAAGGAGGAAAGATCATGGAAGCGGGAGGAATACGAAACGGAGGAGTGAGAAAGTAGGGCACGCTTTTGGGGATCTGAGCAGTCTTGGACCAGTGCGAGGCCCAGTCGGATCAACAGGGCAAGGGAAATGACGCAAGGCAGAAAAGGGAATCCACCGGCCCCGGATGCCGCGAACCCGAGGACTTGCCAAGAGCGGCGGGGCACGGTCGGATGCTTGTAGTCTCGGTGTCTGAAAGCGCTCATGAAGAGGCGCCAGATGCCGCCGACGCCCCAGCAACCAAAAGCGCTGCCATATACAATCCTGATGTCCCCCCCTCGAGCGCTTCCAAAGGAAACGCTGGTTCTGAGATCGAATCCAGAGGCCAGGGCCTAGGGGTACCCACTTCCCTTGTGAATGCGAAGAGAGACAAAGAGAGAGAGAGAGAGAGAGAATCTATATATATATATATATGTATAGCGAGAGAGAGAGAGAGAGAGAAAGAACGAGAGAGAGAGAGAGAGACAAAGAGCCCACTCGACTACACATTTAGGTGCTTAGCCGCGCCATCTGGGCGAGTGGTAGCTCAAGGAGACACGCAAGGGGGCACGAGCCGCCGCGATCGAGTTCGACTTCCCAAACCAAGATACCGTTATTCTTATCGGCGATAACCCTGGTTTTCCGGGCAGGGGGGGGGAGAAGGGAGCCGGCCGATGACATAACCTTCGCGCTGTGGGAAGCCCTGCATATGCCCGCGCCCCCTCACCCCGGACCTGCACAAGCGGCAAGGTCAAGTTATCCTCGGGGGGTGGAGGGGGGCAAGCCCGATAACCCGGGTTGTCGCCGGACCCTAAAAACAACAGTCTCCAAGTGTGGAACCACTTCCGTCGCAGCTTGAGCACACATTCCGCCCCGGGCCAGAACGATGGAGACGGCGACGCTGCAAGCACACTCCTTAGGTCAGGCCTGTCCCCCTAAGGGGTTCTGAGGCGGGCTCCTCCTCCTCCTCCTCCGCCTCCTCCCCCTCCTCCTCCAGGCAAGGCCGCTCTTCGTCTCGAGCTTCCTCCTGAAGTATTAGGCCTCGAACTTCACCAATGCATGGCTGCCCGTTGCGTTCGGCAGTCAGGAGCGTACGGCGCTCCATTTGCGCCGACGCGCTCCATCGAGCAGGGATTGCGAGGCGGCACTCGGTTTGGGAAATGTTCTAACTATTATGTGTAGTGCCTCCTTATGTGGAAGACAAGCTAGAGGTTGAGTTTGGGGGAGATTGGAGTTCTGATCGGAGTTCCTGGAGTAGTGTGTGCTATGCCGATGGTTCTGGGATGGCCCCGAGCTGGCCAGAGCTACGCAGATGTGGGTGGTCGGCGGTGCAATTGGGTGATAACGGGATGTCAATGCGTGCAGTGTTTGGGCCCTTGTGGGGGCCGATCCAAACGGTTGGCCGTGCCGAACGATTTGCTGTTCTACAAGCCCTCTCACATCTCTTGCAGATCACCTTGGTCGTCTAAGACCTGCTCGGTTTAATTGATGAAGCTAGCAGTTGGTCACATGAACTGGCTGATGCTCATGCACCCTATGCTGATATCTGGCGCCCCATCCTGGCATTATACCCTGGAGGAGAAGGGCGGCCTGCCTTTTCTTGGTGCCCTGCGCACCACACGGATGAGAGTTTCTTGGAGTGTGCAGTGGATAAACATGTCGACTGGGAGGCTGTGATGGGGAATAGATGGGCAGAAGACTTTGCGAAAAGAGGTGCCCTCGTCACCCTCGTCCACGCTGAGCCTAACACCGTCGTCAAGTATTACGAGGCATGTCGTCAGGATTGTACTATGCAGGCGAAGTTCTTCTCTTGGGCAGCGGCCAAGATGGCTGCACGTGACCAGCTGAGCGAGCGCCCCGATCATCTCCTGGGGCTCTCCACTCGTAAGGTGCCCTATGCAAGTCTCACTGCTCATAGTATGGTGATTAGGGCCCCCCCAGGTTTTCTAGTGTAAAGAGTGTCTCGCGGTTGCCCGTACGCAGGCCAGTCTTGGAAAGCTGATGGGGACCCCCTGCATGCCGACGGCCCAAGAGAGGCTGAAGGCGCGTGTGGATCAGGAGCTCCAGCGAGCTCCCCCGATGAGGTCTCACGCGGTGAATGTTGCCCTTCAAGGGGCTGTGGATCAGGAGCTCCAGCGAGCTCCCCCGATGAGGTCTCACGCGGTGAATGTTGCCCTTCAAGGGGCTGCGGATTTAGGTGTAGATTTGCCACAGGACGGGCAGCCTCTGGAGGCTCCTGGGGCCCCTGCGCCTGCCGTTGAGGAAATCGTCGTGCTCCAGGGTCACCGTGTTTTGGTGCGGCCATGGGCCATGGTGTGCACCCAGTGCGGCTCCTATCAAGTGTCCTGTGGGGAAGTTGCGAATTGCAAGTTGCAGGATGTGGGTCTGGGGGCGTCGGAGCACGGGCTGACCAGATATACACAGAATTATGATATCTCTGATATACGGGCTGGTCGCCATCCAAAGACGGGCAAATCTTGAAGTCCCGTGTAATATAGTAGTATGTAAAGGCCCGTGCTCCCGTCCCTCGGCTGCACGACCAGGCCTGGCGTTGGTCCTCCTCCTCCTCATCCTGCTCCTCCCTCCTCCCACCTCCTCCTCCTCGTCCTCCTCCT